CAGGATGATCTACAAAACAAACAACAACAAACACTGAAATACAAACAACTGAATAAATAAAATGAATGACAATACAACTTTAGAAAAAGTATATCACATAAAAGCAACACATAACAAGACTACATTACAACCAGAACAAGGTTGATTATTCAAAGGTTTAAATCAGTGATGACATAATTGATATTGACAAGATCGTATTCTGTCATCTTTCAAATGATGGTCAATGATTTGGAGTCACAGTGATTTAAATCTTTTTTAAACCGTCAAATAGCCACAGGCTGTGATAGTACCTTATTCTTCTTGTCAACTTGCGACAAAATAAGCAATGGCTAACTGGAACGTAAATTGTCAACCCTTTCTTTCAGGCAAACATTCTGTTGTAGACGTCTCTGTTGTTTGTCACATGTGCACAAACGTTTGCGTGCTTGATCAAGCTAAAAGAAAAGTAAAGATAAGTCCATGCATGTAGATAAGAGACAGCATTGCAAAATGCAAACGTTTGCTTGAATCCACTGCTCTGAGGTCAACCGGCTGTTGTGTGACTGTGACTTATCACTGGATTGTACAAATGCAGCTCAAAAAAAACGCTGCAAATGCAAAGAACTTCAAAAATAACGTCATCTCCTTACATATACAGAGAGTTGGTGTTTTCATTTCCGGAACGGGAAAGAAGACATGATTTTCAAACATATACGATTACTTTTTCGTCCCCTTATCTATCACATAGCAGTTTTAAACACAAGTCGCTGGTAAATGTAGGTCATCAATACTTAAACCAGTTCTGACTGGATAATCGTTGGCCTCTTTTTTACTTACAAATTAAAGGTGTGGTGCAAGCCCTGTATGTAAAAATGGGATGAGAAAAAAAACAGAATACAGGTTTGCTCTCATGAAAACAATTTTGGGTATAAGGCAAATAACACTTGATTGTTTGAAAGTGCGATGTGTGTTATTAACATATTTAACACTTCACTTGGATTAGTGGTGAGAAATACCACTTACAGGTCCCTTAAGTCAGTTAAGTTAAGTTAGTCATGGCAAGTTTGAGGTAAGGTCACTTCAAAAGGTTGAGTATAAACACTGTCACTTATTTTGCAATCAGCAAATCTGGGTCTGGATTTAAGTGAAACACTAACAGGTCGTTAGGACACAACAAATCAATATTGTTACTCACAAGCAGAAGGCTGCAGTGAGGGTAGCACAGAATAATTTAGCATGCATGTTGTAAAAGTCACACAGTACACAAGGAAATACTGCACCCAATAAGTGACGTGCTATCTATTCAGGAAACCACTATTGACTGAGCTGTAAAGTGACGATACAATAAAAATTGAAAAAAGCTTTTCCATTCACTGACTGAATCATAACCTGTTCGGTAAAAGCCTAAGTCATAATCACAGTTAGATCTACAATTAGTTACAATTACGCCAATTCATGTGAAAACGTTAAGTACAAATAATAAAGGAATAAAATAAGGTTGAGAATTATAATACAACTGAATGAAGAATGTCGGATAAATTACTGGCATCAATAATAGATTAAATAAATGATTATCCAAAAGTTTTTTCAGCAGAGGGACAGTAAATACAATCTCAGAGGAATATTTATGTTAAAAAAACAGCAGTAAGGACCAACATTAAACTACACTGTATTACAACTATGGGTGTTAATTTATGGAACAGCTGCAGTGATGAAATGAAAACATGTAAAACATTAGGACAGTTTAAACACATTTTCAAGAATAACATATTTAACAAATATAAAATTGAATCAATATCAGTTGTAAGGTCTGTACCGTCTGCCAATTAATGTGTGTAACACATGATATCTGTTGCTTTTGTTACTTCGTTATCTGTATTATTCGACTTTATTTTTGAAAGCTTAGTCTTGGATTAATTTATTAAGCTAAAAAGATAAAAGGGGTAGGACTGGATAAGTTATTTAACTTCATCCTACACCCTTTTCTAACATGGACTGGTGAAGGAAAAAAATAATCGAGCCACTACAGAAAGTCTGCTTTGATTGCTGTTTGCTTTGTTTGTAATGTGTATTTTTATTTTTATTTTTAAAACATGTTCGAAATAAAAAATAAAAAATAAAAAAACACTACCGCGGTGAAGCTTTACTGTCCAGCCTGAAATAACACTCAGTCCAAAGCATGTATTCCAGTGTCTTGGCTTGCTGTAGCAATTAAAAAATTGGTAACATCTGCTATTTCATCCAAAAACGAAAGTGTGAGCTCTTCTTTGTTAAAAACATAAACAGAACTAAACAAAACAGAACTATGATTACATGATGCACACACACCACACATTCTGCACATCTGTATGAGCATGTGACAAATAAAAATATTGACTCTTCAAAGCCATGAAACGTGAATGCAAACAGTTAACCGAAAGGAGGATTACATTTTACATATTCTAAAATGTCTCCAACCAACACACTTCTTTACATTTTCATCACAAATGTCTGTTTTAAAAGTAGTGGCAACATAATAAAAGCGCTCAGGAATATGAAAACAGCACCATAAGTGTCCACAGAGGCTCGTAACAAGAGGGACCAATATGTGTTTACACTTTCCACCAGGCTAACTAGCATGCTAGCTAGCAGGAAGCTAGTGCCTAACTTTAATCGCCTAAAGAGTTGCTGACTTGCAGAGCCTGGTGTTTGCTCACTTGAATTTAAAATCTACAGGGTTTCACTTAGACAGAAGCCATAACATCTACAACATGTATCTAATGCGATAAGACGCTTTATGCAGTTTTATGAGGAAATTTACAAGCTAACAAAGCTAAACATTGTTAGCTTAGAGGAGGAAGTTCAGATCTATGTAACAGTAAAACCTTAACGTAGCTAGTTCTGGCTTTAGATTTAATTCTTACTGACACTCACCTTTAAAGTCTCTCTGGTCCCTGTTACCTCACAACAGAAATATATACCTCCGTCTCCATGTCTCGGCAAGTCGTAGTTAAACAATTAGTTGATGAAAACTTCACAGGACGGCTTCGCTACATTCCCCGAGTGAGACTAAATAATGTCATGAAGCAGGAGAACAAAGCGCGTTCAAAACATGCCGACTTCCGGTCTGAAGTGTTTGCTCTTCAAAATAAAACGCTTACGTCCGGGTCTGGTTTCAAACATAGTTTCAAAACATATAAAGACACTGTAAACAAAAATACCACTTTAATGGTAAAACTAATTGGTATTAAGTAAAATAATATTATCTGATGCAAAATAGGCTATACTCAAAATAAATCGTTTAACATTTCTTTAGGAATTTTGAAATTAAACAAACGATTAATCCCTAAAATGGCAGAAACTCATTATATCGTTTGTATTTTAATATCGCCTCTTATGAAATGATTAGCCTGCTATGTGCTCTTGTGGAACATTTCTTCTTTACAGCAACTGATAACTAAGTGTTATGTTCCAATTAGTGTTCATTTAGCAGAAGAAATACTACCACCCTGTGGCTACCAGAGAGGAGTTTTGTCAGACATACAAATACATCACTTCATCAGAGAAAATTCAGTACATGGCACCTGGGGGCATATCATAAAATATTTGTGTCAGTAAAAAAAAATTCTGCCCCTATGCTCATTCATGGCTATTTGTAGGCCATCATCCCAATGTGGCCCTAAATACCCTGTCCCCTTTATCTTCTAGTAAACAGGTTTCCCCCAAATGAATGTTTCATGTTCAATTAATACAAACACTCACAGACATAACTTTCTGCTCTCTGTTATCTCCCAGAAGACTCCTTTCTTTACATAAATGTTTAGAAAAGACACAAGGTTAAACTTCTCCCTATGGCTAGAGATCATTTTGTGTTTTAAATGTATGCCAGATTTCCCCAAAGGCTTCTTCCTAGTCTGTCAGAAAACATTGTATTCAACTCTACTTTTATACTCTTTCTGAATTATGTAGAGCATCAGCATACTGCACGCGTATTTCATGACCATTGAAATTTTGATTGCCTTTTGATTAAACTATTTTTTAGTTAGACAATATACAATATATAGTGTAGAAACTGAATTCATCCCTGAAAATATAACACATCAAGTATTGTGTTGCATTGAAGCTGTTTATCAATCATGTCTCATCTCTGCGTATTAACTTGCCTTGTAAAAAGACAGAAAGATAAAAAGCAGTTAGCTGAGCTGTGGCATGAAGGCAGACCAGTTTGGAGTGCAACGGTAACTAACGTAATGTTTGTTTTTACCTGTAAACAGTCTTGATAATCAGATAACTGATGTTACTGTTACTGTGAAATCACATAGCTCACATCATGGTGGTGTTTCATCTGATAAATTGAGGTTTTCAACAATATGTAATGTCAGTGATTCTTTAACAGTTTGAAAACAAATCTGTTTTTCAACTGAATATACTGTATATATATTTTTTTGTTAAATACAATAATCTAATAATCTCCAGCTTCTTCAATATCATGATGATCTCTTTGAGAACGAAATTAAAGCTTCTCACATTGTGTGAAACTGGCTTCATATAGGCTATGCCCACTCATAATGTCACACTTCTTAAAAATGATGTCAGTATTTTAAATGGCAAACCAAAATGCCTGTAAATTAACTTGGTGCATCTTGTCAAATATGAATATATTTGTTGGTCTAAAGCTTGAAAAATGTGTAAAGGCTTATTCATTTAAAAGTCTTAATGTGATTATAATGTAAACGTTATAATCAATAACAAAAATAATTAAAATTGTTGTTAAGACCTGAATCTCTGTGCAAATACTTAAAAAAGGAAATTCTGTAGAACCTTCACCTAATCCAAACTATTACTAAAATCATTGCATTTTTCATGTTGAACAAAAAGTAAAAGAGAAGTTTTTGTTGAAATGTTTCAAATTATTCTCAAAATGGCTGCTTTAGATTAAATGCTGTACTTGTGTTTGACATCTCGATCGCTCGCTGAATATCTTTGCTCTTTAGTTTGAAAGCTGCTTGTAGGACCTCTTTTTTGGCGCATGCGCACTAGAACACTTTTCAGATGTCAACTGCAGCCGAGAGATAACGGACAAACATTTAGCGAGAGCTCGCTAGCGCAGAGAAGAAACAATTCATGACCAAAAGCTGCTCCAGACGGGACTAAGTAATGAGGTAGATAGTCGGACAACAAATAACAACAACCTTGGTCGAAAAAGACTGACAGCGCCTGAGTTAATATGGACCAGGAGTTTGAAGACATAGACTCAGAGGGCCGGTGGCAGAAACTCTACCATGTAAGTGTGTTAGCATAGTTAGCATAGAGCTAACATAAATAGTCTGTACATCAGGTGCGGATTCACTTTAGTAAGATAACAGTAAATACTTTAAAATGTGTCTCCTGTTTTTTTGTTTGGCTGTTTTTCTGTTTGTTTTTCATGTTAAACTTCACACTTTTTATGTTGAAAGTTTAGTATATATTCGGATATATTTATATTTAACATGTTGCCATAAGCATGATCATGTGATAGAAGATCAATGTGAATGGCTTCGTTATTTACCCAGTTTCCCTTGTTTATTGTTTATTATTTTTATGTATGAGTTTATTGCCCACAATTTGATCTTATTATGAGGTTATATAATATTCTGAAAGTACATGTTACTGTTTGTACACTTTGATTATTTGACACATTTATTCCAAACAGTCTGTCATTGTTTTCCTCTTTATTCAGCTTTTTATTTTTTTAAATTTTTTATAATTATTAGAGGTGGAATTGAATCACTGTGTCAGTGTGCCATTAAATTTAATGCCATGCTAGTTGTTTGTCTGGTAATTTCCTGCCCTGAAAAAAAATGTATGTTTGTCTTCAGGAAATCAGGAATCAGTCCCACGAGTGCTCCTACAAAGTGGCAAAGTGTCCGGAGAATCGCAACCGAAACAGATACAGAGATGTCAGTCCATGTAGGTAAACATTTGTGAAAGGTCCATCCAAACTTCTCCAAACCTCTAACTACGTCTTAAAAGAAGTGCTACTGATCCTTGGGGTGGAATTTCTGTAGTTATTTATATTATAATGTACAGATGTGTTTATTCACTGTTCTCTAATGTCAGTCACACCTGATAGAGTTCAGCTGTGACTAGAACACCAAGTACAGCTTAAAGCAGGGGTGGGCAACTGGCGGCCTGGGGGCGACATGCGGCCCCCATCAACCCTCAATGTGGCCCTCAGGTCAATTTTGACATATCAATTAATTAGAAACATGAAGAAAAGATGACAAAATCTGCCAAGAAATAGTGAAAACCAGAAATATGTCCATAATAATATTTGATCACTGGTATATGTTGCGTTAAATTTGAGACATAATTGACTGTAATCGTTTTTGTATTCTACAATTTGGCCCTCTGGCAGTGAGAATTAAATGAATGTGGCCCTTGCTGTGAATGAAGTTGCCCGTCCCTGGCTTAGAGACTGTTTTTCCTGATATCTGTAAGGATGTTTGATAGACTTGTTGTCTGTTCCAGTGTTATAGAAGTCACAGATTAGTCTAGGTGGGTCAGTGTGACCCTGATAATGATAATGTCTTTTAGGATATATGCGATGCCTTTCGAAAAGTTCTGCAGATGTGATTGAGCAAGACGCGAGTAATCATGTCTCCTCATGAGTATTCATCTGATGTATAAACTTTCATCAACGTAAGCCATCTGATGTCAACTGAGTCTTATTGTGTGGAGTCAAGTCTTAATAATTTCTTCAACAATTCTGAAGTCATTTTCTTTTCATGCTGCCTGCAGTTGATCACAGTCGAGTGAAGCTGGAGAACACAGAAAATGACTACATCAACGCAAGTCTGGTAGTAATGGAGGAAGCCCAGAGAAGCTACATATTAACACAGGCAAGTCCTAAAGTTTGATTTCTGTTCCAGTGGGGGGGGGGGGGGGGAGATGCTACATATGTGTGAGCAACAAGTTCAATTTAAAGGATGTTACATTTATTCCAACAAAAAATTCAAAGTATAAAATAGAGATGCACAGATTAACCTTTTTTTAGTTCTGATCCAATACACATGTACTGATACTGATCATAACTAATAGTGTTATTGATGGTATTATGTGTAAGTCTATACAACGCTGTAGCAAACCTGCTTTGTGCTGGTTTCGTATACAAACAGGAAGTAACACTGACTGTAAGGTTTTCAAATTAAATCTGTAAGTGTAAGAACTGTACTTTTGATCATATAGAAGTAACTGTTCCATCCCGTCTGGATGTTGACGATTTGTTGACACTTCTTACAGTTCAGTCTGAACGTCTTCAAAGTGAGACTGTGCGAGTTGAGAATGTTTTGAGTGCCCAACAATGTTTCTTAATCTGCGCCGTGGATCAGCGCCGTCAGTCTGATATCTGATATGGAAAGTTATGTCAATATAGGACCCGATTCCGATAGACTGATCAGACTGAAAGCAAAAACAAATCTGTGTTAATGTCCAACAGATTAGCAGAGTTGACCAGTGTCACTTTCCTAACTGCATGTTCACTTGAGTTAATGTGATGTCACCGAGCATGATGGTTGAAAAGAAGTGCTGGTTTGGTTAACCTAAAATGTTAAGTGATGAATGTATCATCACTATATAACGGTTACATGGTATGTGCACGTTGTGGCCAAAAAATGAAAAAGAGCTGGTAAAACTTCTGTCTTTAAATTTCTGACGTAGTGAGAAGAACACTTTCATGGATCTTTCAAACTATTCTCATATTCACCAAGTCGGATAATCATTTATTTTTGAAGCGTTGAATCCCCAACAAACAATGACGTTAATGTTATTTCTGATATCTTAATGAAGAGGTGATTTAGTAAGCAGTGCACACATTTATTTTAAGACAATGAATAATGAAAATATCCCTCCATGTGTTCCAATCTGACACAGCTGTTTGATATCCTTTGTTTGTCTGTATGACAGATAATATAACAGACAAAGGCTAAAGACTTACATTAAGATGACAGACAATGAAGTCATATTTACTTTCATTTAGATGAACAAATCAACATAGATGTCTGTCTTAACAAAAGCTTTTTTCCTCACAACCCCTTTGCCCGTGGACGATGTTGTTTGTGTGCACATGACTTTGTGTTTTACAGACCATAATGATGACTTTCCCATCGTCTGGATATTCAAAGTAGTGACTAGTAAAGCTAATAAAATGTGTCAGAGGTCATTTAACTGACGTCTTATGGCAAAGAAAGAAATCTGCAGGGTAGAATCTCTCCAGGTGAACCTTATCTGTTTTTTTTTTATCCCAGTTTAATGGCTACCTGAAAACCATAGTTTCACACTGATCCCAGTCAGCTGCTTGGTGTTGACGTCTACATTTTTGAAGATGTTCTTTTTTAAGAAAGCTGCTTTCGGCAGAACACCACCAGTCGCTGTGGCAGTTGGGTTGAAATCATTGTTGTTATGGTTCGTCTCAATGAATGTTAAACGACTGTAATCAGACACACGTCTACTAATCATGTAATTACACCGACATTTAAAACCAGGCGAAATCAAAGGAGCTCACAGAGCTTTCTTTATTTCTAAAGCAGGAAGAGAGGAGCAGTATTGTTTTGTTAAAAGTTATATAACCCTCCAAATGACTAACTCAATAACCCAAATCTTATGCTTAATATATCCACCATTACTGAGCATTATGAATCATCTGTTTCTGAAGAGTGAAGTCAAAAACACTTTTTCTATGCGGTTTATTTCATTGTATGTTTTTATTCTGTGAAAGACTGATCACTGAGAGTATAGCCACAGGAAGTTTGCTAACTGAGCTTTAAAGGACAAGTAATAAATAAATATGTGTAAATAAGGCAAAGATCGGGGTTAATGTTTGCTGTGGTTGATCAAGTTTTGAGTGGCCTCTAATAATAGAAACTTATGCAATTCTGCTTTTGGTGTCCCAGTCAATAACATCCTACATTACATGACATCAAACAGTGAGTTACTGTTACAATATTTACCCATCTTGTATTTCCCACCCTTTCATGCCATGAGAAATGTAAATGTATCATTACCTCATAGAGCGCAGCTTTCTCGATTGATAAAAACCTGCTCTGACCTTTCAGTAAACTGTTTTTTTATCATCCTCTGCACTGTTCACATCACATTGATTACATCAATCCTCAGCCAATTGCTCAGCTGATGTATTAAGTGAGTCCAGTGTTATTATTAGTGCGACACAGATTGACACATTCCATTTGTGAAAGACTTTCCGCTGTCCTGCTGGACCCAATCCAAAGTGTGTGTGTGTGTGTGTGTGTGTGTGTGTGTGTGTGTGTGTGTGTGTGTGTGTGTGTGTGTGTGTGTGTGTGTGTGTGTGTGTGTGTGTGTGTGTGTGTGTGTGTGTGTGTGTGTGTGTGTGTGTGTGTGTGTGTGTGTGTGTGTGTGTGTGTGTGTGTGTGTGTGTGTGTGTGTGTGTGTGTGTGTGTGTGTGTGTGTGTGTGTGTGTGTGTGTGTGTGTGTGTGTGTGTGTGTGTGTGTGTGTGTGTGTGAAATAGAAGGGGAATGGAGTTAAGATAATCAGATGAAGTCATTTGTTAAGAAACTAAAATAAGTTAGATAATAAAGCACAATGAATAATCTACAAACCTTATATTAACATATATCATAAGCTAGTAAAAATAAAGGTTTCACCCCCCCCCCCCCCCCCCAGGTACAGCGGGATTCTATGGTAAACGCTGACTGTGTGTGTGTGTGTGTGTGTGTGTGTGTGATCAGGGCCCCCTCAAGAACACATGCGGCCACTTCTGGCTCATGATCTGGGAGCAGAAAACCAAGGCTGTCATCATGCTTAATAGAGTCATTGAGAAAGGCTCGGTGAGTAAAACAGAATTTTGTTCTGACACACACACACTGTTAAAATTTGGAGCCTGCTGACTGTGAATAACTTAAGCAGCTTGTTTGATTAATCCTGATTTCTGTTTAATGGCCTACGGGGAAGCGTCCCTCTTCTGTAAAGCTGTTTTAACACATGCACTCCTGTACATTTCTAGAGAAATGCCCTTGAAATTCAACAAGTTCAACAAGTTCACAATATCAAGGAAAGAGTGGAACATTATGTTTACATTTTCATTTAGCTGTTTCATCACGTGCGTGGAGATAACAATAGTCGCTGCATACAGTCTAAGGTCGTGTACCAATCACAGGGAATAAACACCACCACCCCCTCCCACTTGCTCAAAGTGAATTCTCCGGATTTTGTCCTGCTGCGATCAGACGTAGGCTCACTCTGAGTTTCTGTGGAAAAACGACTTGGGGGCTGGCAGGAGAAACTCCAGACAAAGTGAAACATTCAGCTGTTATTGTCCACACCATGCAGTGCACCTCAAAGTTTTCATACATGTTTTTGAAAGTGTAGACAAGGTTTAAGAGGGAGAACTGGAATTTAATGTTTAGTTAATGTGGTCACAGATTTATAGGAGGGAACTGGGATGAAGCCCAACTTCTTTTATTTCCTCTGATCCTGCAACGATTAAACACACACACACACACACACACACACACACACACACACACACACACACACACACACACACACACACACACACACACACACACACACACACACACACACACTGACTCTCTGTCTCTCTCACGCAGAGCATCTGTGATCTCTCTCTCTTTCTCTCTCTCTTCCTCTTTCTCCCTATCTTTCTCTCTCTCTTTCTCTTTGTCTCTATCTTTCTCTTTCTCGACAAAGCAGCTGGCTAGGCTCTCGCTCGGCCATGAGATTCACTCTCACTGTTTTCTTGGAAACAGGAAGATAAAGGGCACCTAGTGCATGGGTATTATTAACCTGTCAAGGATCTTTTATGTAGGCCAGCTCTCCAATCCTGCAGAGGGATTGTTGCATAATAGACTTATCCCAACAGTTCTGACCCCTGTCTGTTTACTGTAAAAAACACAACACTGGGATGACAAGTTAGCTGTTCACCTGACTGAAGTATTATTCACAGTATTTGACTTCTGTTTTCTGAAAAATATTTAAAGGGGTCATATTATGAGAAATCCACTTTGACAGTGTTTTTGAACATATATTTGCATTTCCTGAGTGACTACTGACCCACAAAATTTGAATTAAACCCATCCAGTCCTTTGTTTGTGGTCTGCATAAGTCTTATAACAAAGAGAGAAATTCTCCGTTTCAAATGTGCTCTCCTTGTGATGTCACAGTGGGATTTTGGTAAAAAGAAATCCCCCTTCCTCCCCTGGTATCTCCACCTATGGACTCCACCCCCTAGAACAAAACTTTTACACACGCCGCTTTTTTTATTCTCTCTACAGAGGAGTGATGTCTACGGAGAAAACTCAAGGGGGGCTCATTGCATTTAAAGAGACACACACACCAAAACAGAGCGTTCTGAGAGAGCTGGTTTATACAGGGTCACAAACCTCCTTTGGTGCCTGATTCATGTTATTATGGGTGATATTGGGGAGAAAAAAAAATTGGATAACGGCCAATAACTTTCTTCGATGTATGTTTGATCTGTAGAGCTAGATCTCTATAAATTACACATTTATTGCGTCAATCCCTCAATGAAGTTATCAAACACTTCCAGAAAATATATATATAGTATAACATGGACAAGACGATCACTCAACTGAACAGTAACTGTGCATGTACATGCGTCACCGCTTGACCCTCTGGATTGTTGTCCACAACATGTGCATGTGTTTCATCTAAAAAACCTCATCCTGTTGTCTCTTAACATTCATATGAATCACCCAGTGACAATTGATTTCTGTAGGAAATTTAAAAAAAAGCCTTTCCAGCAGCTCACAGTGCATTGCTTTGTCTGACTCGTGCCCTGTGGCATAATTACAGCCATTAAAAATAAAAAAATAGATATTATCCATTTTCTAGCTGATGGTCTTGGTCGTAAAGCGGCGTCATCAATGCTAATTTTAGTCTGATTCACAACCAGAAAACTCCTTAATAAGGTGTACAAATTGATACTTGTACTCAGCATTCTTTAAACTCAAATCATCCAGCTTCCCTTTTGATGCCAAGGAGCAAACCGTCTTCCTTTTTAGTGACATCTGCTTTTACCTCAAGGCCAACCCTGCCGCCCAGCTAACCTGTGCTGTTCATCATGTGTGTTGAACTTAATACTGGTTTCCCTAACCAGATTTCTTTGTTTTCTTCTGTGCTAGGAAAAGTGTGCCCAGTACTGGCCCACGGCTGAGGAGAGGGAGATGGCCTTCAGAGACACGTGCTTTCTGGTCACGCTGTTGTCAGAAGACACAAAGTCGTACTACACCACCAGAGTCCTGGAGCTTCAGAACTTGAGTGTAGGCCAAAATTTAACTTAACACAAGGGGGCATTCCCAGTAAGAATCGGCAAAGGAGAACTGAAATTACTAATGCCTGTCGCCCCAAGAGGGATCACATGTATCTCTGATGTCTGAGGGAAACATCCTTGTTCATCAAGTTTTTTTTTTTTTACAGTTTTCAAAAGTGAACTCTTCTTTTCCTTATTGCCTAAAAAAAGAACGATCGCAGATCAAGTGCCAAGAAAACAAATAAGGACAAGCTTTCCTTGAATTGTTGTTTTGGCATGACATGACAAGTTTTCATAACGTGCTTCATGAAGTGATACAGAAACTACTGGGAATGTCTGCCTGCTTGAGCCGTCTATATATTCTGAAATAACCCCCGACCTCAAACAGAACTGATGAAAATCAGCACTGCAGATAAAAAGGTTTTTTCTAACCTGCTGATGGGATCTCTGTTTTTTTTCTGCCTCCACAGACAGGAGAGAAGAGAGAGATCTACCACTTTCATTACACCACGTGGCCTGACTTTGGTGTCCCAGAGTCCCCGGCATCCTTTCTAAACTTCCTTTTTAAAGTGCGGGAATCAGGAGCGCTCGGGGTTGATCACGGACCAGCCGTGGTGCACTGCAGTGCTGGAATTGGACGCTCAGGGACATTTTCATTAGTTGACACATGTGTAGTTCTGGTAAGTCCTGCCTCCTTGTTTTTTAATGAACTCTGGATCTGTCTTTTTACTTTGGAGCTGTTCAGTTTAGTTATGTTTTTGCGCTGAAAATGCTGGAAAATACTTTAAAACATGATGAGGTTTCGGTCTGTATAAGCCGTTGATGTGTAATGGTGTAAGAATGTGTCCGGCTACAATTTCCTTTCAAAATACAACCATTAAATGAGTCATGATTTGAGAGAAGGTCGGGGTTCATCCTGCTTTGGAGAGCTAATTTACATGACCGTCCCCTGTAGATGGACAAGAGGAAAGATCCCTCATCAGTGGACATCAAGAGCATCCTGTTGGACATGAGGAAGTGCCGTATGGGCCTGATACAAACCCCGGACCAGTTGCGCTTCTCCTACATGGCTGTCCTGGAAGGAGCCAAGTACATCAAGGGAGACTCTTCTTTACAGGTAGCTGTACTGTACCAGCACATCATGACACTTTCTATCGCTCACTATGACACACTCACTCTTTCTACGATATGCCAAAACAGTTAAATGATGCTGTGATCCCATTTTCAAGACTGGTGCACGATTTAACATGGCAGCGCTGTGTTGCTGACGATGCTTGACAGAATAACCCAAAAAATATATATATATATGCTAAGGACTAACATTTAACCCCTGTGCTGCTCTGATCAATTGATAAAACTGGATAAATTGGTACATTTGATTGATGAGCTTCATGACCTGCTCAACATGTTTGGCTATAGTCCAACCAGCTCTACCCTCCAGTGTGAAACGAGCCCTCTCCCCTGACTCATTAACTCTTACATAGGGAATTTCAGAGACTACAACAAAGTCTGGAATTCAGTCAGGAACATATCCTCATTCTTACTACAGAGAACAAACAGTTAAAAAAACTCAATCCAAACTCTTCCCACTGAAATGTCAACCATAACAGACGGACAGTTCTGGACTTATACACGCATTTATTCGAGACAACATTATGTTTTCTAGTTTACCAGAGTCCTCGGACCATTCCCCCTCTGATCAAGAAAACAACCTGGGAAAAAAATCATGCTACTCAACTCCAAATCCAACCTGAAACAATTGATAAAATCACATTCCACTGTGTTCACGATCTGTAAGCTGCAGAAAAAAGAACCACAAACAGCGGGACCATAATCACAACTTTTAAACATTACAAACACAAAGAACTCAGGAAGAAAAAAGAGAAAGAGCCGAAAGGTACAAACTACGGACTATAGATTAATTTCCTTGTGAAATCATGGTGAGAAGCAAGACTATTTTTCCTTCAAGGAAGCAGTTTGTAGAAAAAACAAATCAAGGCTGTTGTCTCTGTAGATAAGCTGTTTGTTGACGGGCAACTCTTGCGCGACCATGAACTGACTCCTTGGCTCTAGTGAATGCGTAAACAATCACAAGAATAAAAAGCACCAAAATTTCTAAAGCTCTGTTTTAAAATCTTCCTAATCCCTTCACATTTTCACAGCTTATTAAAATCCAAAACAAAGAAGAGTGGCAATTCTGATTAATAATAAAATCAAATTCACAATCTTGTGTCCAGAGTGACAATATATCATTATTTATAATATATAAATTTAAGAAAATGTAGCTTTGTGTTCATGTGAGTTGTAGCAGACATTTAATTTGTTGTTGTTTTTTGTTGAGAGTAACATGTATTTTTACATTGCATCTTACTTTAATCTTAAGCATGTTTCCTGTGAGTGATACAGAGAAAAACTACCATCTGATTGATAGAAACGTTGTTGTACTTCTTGCTGTTTGCTGTACCTGTGTAGAACCGATGGCGGGAGTTGTCCAAAGAAGACCAGGAGCCAATACTGGAGTCTCCCCCCTCAGCTCAGACTCAGTCAAGGTGTCAGACAGAGCGGTGCAACGGTAACCAGCGGGGGTGTCAGCAGGAGGAGGGGGGAGAGTACAGACAGGATGGCAAAGTACCGGCGCAGTCTCCCTGCAAAGAACAGGAGCTGGACGGCAGCACAGCACAGTGAGTAAATGAAAAAACATGCACCATGATATAAACAGCTGAATAAATGATCTGACTCGGTTATTTGATATTAGATAATCTTAGTTTCAAACTATTTGATATAGAAGGGTTACATTTCAGGTTCACGCTCACATTAAGATGTTATAATGTTTGAATGAAACAGACAAGCAGAAAAAGTGATGATAGTGTGTTAGTGAAAAGGTTGCATGGTATCAGTTAAAAATAATCAGATCTGTGGTCAGTTTGTGTCTGCGGTCATCACCTCAGTGAGGAAACCGATTTTCAAACTATTTCTGAGAATTTTGGTTACATAACTTTCCACGGCTAACACATTTTTTTTCATTTGTTAAATCTTTTCTTTTTTATAAATATCTTAAAAGTTCAGCTTTTTAAATGAGTCATCATACTTTAGCCTGACCTATAAATCGTCCTGATATTAGCATATAACCTTCAGTATTGGCTTATTTGATCTCTGATATAACTAGGTTTATTCAATTCAAGTTTATTGTTTTTTTTATATATTTTATTTGAATAATTGTTAATTTCTAAGTAAAAAGTGTTTCAGTTTACTGTTGGTAGTCTGGACAATAAAGGCTTTTGATCAATTGTTGAAAAAAGAAAAAATCCTCCCTGACATCGGTCCCTTGTTTGCAGTATATATTAGACATAAAAGTGTATCATGTGTAGGACAATAACATTATTAAAATGATCACAGTTCTGAAAAATGTCCTATCCATCCCCCATCCACACAATCCTTCTGACCACCCCCGGCTAATCCTCTTAAATCCAGACCTTCACAAGAATGATTGTCCAATGACATGTTTGTCCGACAACGGATTAAAGTCACAAAGAAATAGAAAAAAATTGAATTTATTTATACAAAAGTGTTTTTCACAAAATATTTTAAAAGTACTTTAGGGAATAAGTACGATGGAGGATTTGAAAAAAAAAAAAAAATTAAATTTCGAGATTGAACTCGTAAATTTTTTAGAATAATCTCGTAAATTAACGAGTTCGAGACCAGCCTGCGCGAAATGATGAAAGTAGAAAATGATGAAAGTAGAGTCTTTTCCTCTTTAGACAACTTCCTCCAAATCCGTGTGGTTCATTCTTCAAAAAAAAAAAAAAGCCACAGTTTCTTGCAGTATCTTTTCAGGGTGCTGATATTTTAAGTAAAGCCCCAACACAACTATTTGTGTCTGTTACCAGTCTGCCTTGTTAAAGTGTCTCATGTGCAGAGACAGTTTGTGTCCTGTTCATCATTTTACAGATAAAGAACTCCTTGAAAGTTGAAGTGAAAACGTCTCTTGAACTCACTGGTTTTTTTTTTACAAACTACACATTTCCTTATTAGTGAAACCTTTACTGAAGTATTGATGCTCCATGTTTGTCATTTGAGAACAGGATGCTGCTGCTCTTCTGATATAGACTAAAATAACCACTTTATTCTTTAAATACCTTCATCATTTCCACGCAGGCTGGTCTCACAACTCGTTAATTTATGACTTTATTCTCGTAAATTTACAACTTTAATCTCAAAATATATATATAAAAAAATGTTTTTAACGTGGTCCTAATCCTCCATCGTAAATAAGTAAGCAAGATAACAGATGATAGTTCTTTAAAATGTTTGCTCTAGATAAGTAGGTCTCACATGTGGTCTTGTAAAGGTGACATTTTCTCTGTACTTCCCAATTTTTGTCTCCACACCTCTCCCAGTAACAGGAAACAATGTTTTTTTTTTAAAATCCATTTCTTTGTTTTATGCAGCAAACGACGCAGAGAAGACAGCATCTCCAAATCAGCCTCAGCCAAAACACCCCAAAGCAAGCCCAAGACGAGCGACTCCGAGAAGAAGAGAAAAAGGTGATCACATCATCTGGTTGAAACAAACTCTGCAACTGTCATGCAACATCACAATACCACTTACGATTGATTTTCCATACTTTGTTTTTATTATACCGCTCAGAACCAGATCTAATCTAATCATGTTTGAATCTAACTGTTGTTGCTTTTCACTACACATCTGATGATTTCAAAGCGATGCCAAAGCACAAAAGATATGAGTCTGATTTCAGCTACAGTTATTTGAACCAGACACAGTATGTTTTCCCTGTGTATGACTCAACCTCCTGAAAACAGAAGTTACACTTCATGCATAGCGTAGGCTTCAGTTTCTTTTTATTTTCCCCTCATAATTTTGTGTGGAGCCTCCAGTGCAGCTAAGTGACATATATACGTCAAGCTCCCATTGAGACCAGGCAGCTAGACCTGATGCAGCACTTATTTCTGATGACTGTGCAGCTCACTAAGTCATTTCTGAGAAGCCTGTCTTTGTTGTGTGATATGTCAGTGTTGTTCCAGTAATTTGGGCCCCAGAGTAGCAGCCCCGTACCGTTTTTTTTTTTTTTTTTTTTTCTGACGAGGTCTTTTCTCTGCTGTTGTGGTTCTTCTCGGACAGCTTGGGCTGCATTTGCTGCACATAACAAGAGCTGGCCTGTCCAGTGGGGGGCAGTGTGTCTCTACCCCCCCTCTGTGACAGCGACAACAACCATGGAGAGCACATTTAGAGGACGAAGTTTACCCACCGCTTTAAAAAACAAAACAAACCAAAAAAACCCGCCTACTCTTGTTCAAAAAGGTGTGTTTGTGTGTGTGTGTTTGTGTGTGTGTAAGTTTGAGCCTGGTGTCTGCTGTGTTTTAGTTTCAGTTGAGGTTTTGTTCTTGTTTTTGTGACTTGCTTCGCTCGTGTGGTTTTTGGAGTTTGGTTGATTTTTTTTTTTGGCTGCACTCTAGCATGGTGTTTGTGTGTGGTGTGTGTATGTGTGTACATTTGTGGTTTATGGTTGTTGTAGCTCTGAAATGTCACGTTGAGTTGGGAAAACAATTTGGCACCTTTTTATGTATCATCGATGACATTATTCACAACAACTTCTCCTTTTCCGCTTCACTAAACCAAAAACCATAGCTTTGTACGTTAAAATGCTAGTCAGCGTTTACCATAGAATCCCGCTGTACCTTGGGGGGGGGGGTGAAACCTTTATTTTTACTAGCTTATGATATATGTTAATATAAGGTTTGTAGATTATTCATTGTGCTTTATTATCTAACTTATTTTAGTTTCTTAACAAATGACTTCATCTGATTATCTTAACTCCGTTCCCCTTCTATTTCCTCTTACACACACACACACACACACACACACACACACACACACACACACACACACACACACACACACACACACACACACACACACACACACACACACACACACACACACACACACACACACCTGCTCCTCTCCTTCCTCCTTCCTTTCAGCATCTTGTCCCACCTTGCCTCATTCTTTAGCTCTGTATATTGTGTGTTTTATGACAATATATTCACCAGCAGTACGTTAGAGACGCTCACGTTTTGAAGTGTTTCGCTCACATTGAGTCATCACAGCAGGATGATGATGACCAGCATGGACACTTGAGCATTGATGAAAGAAAAATGATTTAAATTTCACGAGTTATTCATCGGATATTTAAAGAAATCAGCCAACAAATGTTTCCTACCCAATCCGATCGCTCACTCAGAAGCTCCTCTCTCTGCTTTGACAATCCTTTGAGTGTGTCTGCTTTTCAGCGTGCAGATCATCAAATCTGATGCTATAACTTCCCTTTCAATTTTCAACAACAGCAAAAAAAGTAACGTCTTCAACTTAAAACATCTGAAAAACAGTGTGACATGTTTATTAAACACGGTTTCCTGCTTTTGTTTTTGATTCTTAATCTAACATCGGTGTGATCGAAGAGGTCACAGTGTGTCATTTTAACAGCTCCTCTAGTTTCGTTTCTTCTTGTCTGTGGTCTGGATTTATCTCTGAATTTGAGCTAACTGGAAACACTAACAAGAACTTGTGGAAAAAATACCATCAATCTGTCTTGAGCTAAACTGACTGTTGTGTTTGTTTGTTTTTTATATTCAACCTTTAAATATTTTTTTATCTCATGACAGGGCGAAAACCAGCGACTGCTAACCGCCACCTGTGGCCAGCAACGCACTGCCAGCTCTGGCAGCAAAAAAGCAAAACCTCGGCAGGGAACTCCAGCTCTCTCCCAAACCTCTGTGCCCTTCTTCCTCTCCTTCCACCTCAACAGCCAGCTGTCCTCTCTTTAACGTTTCTTTTTTTAAAATCCAAGCTTAGTAGCATTTTTCAGCCAATCCGGCACCTCCCTTGTTTTTCTCTTAATAGGAGCAAGTCACTCTCAAATCCGCCTTAGTCCTCCTCACAGCTTTCCCCAAATCTCTTCATCCTCTCTAAACTGTTTACAGCCGACACTTCGACATTCTTTGAAGAGAGCACATTTTACCAGATAAACACACCAGCGCTTCATTGCTCAACTACAGCCTGTGCTGCTTCTGGAGTCACCACCTCTTTGTTTGCTTTAACTTTATTATTTGCAGCGTTTTCATTCTATTATGCTTCTTTGCATTCATGAAATTAAGAGTGATAATAGGGGCTATGCATTGCCAATTTATAATGCTGTTCATATGTGTATTTTTAGATGACCCTTTTTTTCCAGAGGTGCAAATAAAAATGTTCTATTTTTTATATGAGATTACTTGAAGTTTTTCACAAAGAGGGAGGAGGGGGGTGTTCATGAAAAGCACTGCCTCCTCCCACATGAGAAATTCAGTGGCATGTAAAGTTTCCATGATGTATATAATATTCTTTTTAAAAAGATGTGTGTAAAAAGACATATTTTTTGCTTGTATGGAAAAAAAGAAAAAAGATGGACGACAATGTTACATATTTGAAAACAGTAGAAAAAGCTGATTTGATGACTTGTTCTCCTTTTGAAATGCATTTTGTCTTAAGTTTCTCTTTCTCTTAGAGTGTAATCTACAAAATAAAACTGGTTTGATCTAGTTTACATACAAAGCTGTCCTGGCTCTTCTCTTGTTACGACACTCCGAACATGTTTGTTGATTGTCAAAGGACATGTCTTTTATTAGTTTCCTACACTGACTGTAAAAAATGTAGAAGCAGCTGTTAGCTTTCATCGTTTAAACTGATTATCACATTTCTAAATGGTAAATGGACTTGAGCTTATATATTTATTTTCTAGTCTTCTGACTACTCAAAGGGCTTTTACACAACAGGTCACACCTACACATTCACACACTAATGGTAGAGGCTGCAATGTAGTGAGACCATCAGAAGTAACTAATCCCATTCATACACCACTGAAGAAGCAGCGGCAGCAATGTGGGGTTAAATGTCTTGCCCAAGGACACATCGGACATGTTGCTGCAGGAGCTGGGGATTGAACCCTTGACCTTCAGGTTGAGAGACGACAACTACCAACTGAGCCTCAGCCTCCCCTAAATATCCCCTTATTACACAAAAGTTGTATTAGTAAAAATGGTGAAAATGTCTTTTTTTTTTTTGCAGTTACTTGGCAAAGTAGCGTACGCTGCCCCTAGCTAAGAAATGTCTGTCACATTAACGACAATCAATTTTTCAGCAACTTGTTCATAATGCAGATTTTGACACGGTACAACTCACTGTTCTGAGTCTTTCTGCAAATCTAAGCTAACAGTCTAATTATGAATGTGGTGTTGAGATGTCGCAGGTTGACTTCTAAGACACTGAACTTTTACTTTCATTTGAACATTATGAACATAGAAGCACAATATAAATCAACAATATGATAGGATTGAAGTATATTTTTTATCTGATTACTTTTTGTTGCCAATTGTTCATATGGAATCTGCATCTTAAAGGACACATACTATATTCAGTATTCAGTGGAAGTCTTCATTTCGTGGTTTCTCTTAAGTTTCACCTCTAAAAAATGTTTTGTCAGGGCATTCCTCTCCCAACAGTCCACAAAGAAACCACCCAAAACAATGCAGACAGACAGGGAAACCACAAACTTGGCAAACGAGCCTGAAAAGGTCAACGTATGAATCACAGTGTTCTCTCCTTGTTACCAATATGTACTGCTCAAACATATTGTAGGAAGGAATCAAATTACAGAGAGGCGGTTCTGCCAGGAATACAGGATGGCACCTTTCCAAACACTTTCAGTTAAACAGGCGAGGGCAGGGTCCAGTGGGCGTCACTAAAAACAGAATATGAAATCATTCCAGATAATCTCGCTTCCTTCTGCATTTTGTAGCAATCTTTTATTTGTTAGAAAAATACATTGATATGCTGCAGTACAAGGATGCAGTATTCCAGAAGTGCATGTTGGTACGTTTTGGTCTATACATCTTAAGAGTAATAGTAAACTGTGATGAATGTTGGAAAAGCTGGAGCTTCTTGTTATTTTACATCCTTGCTTTATGTCTGTTTTCATTGTTTAGAGCAGACAAACGTCCTTTCATTTAGTTCCTGGTCTTGGTATTATGAGTTTACGGCACAAAAAAACAATCATCATTTCACTAGTAATACATTTCCACTAATGCACAAGGCTCTGTAGAATACCAAGGTGCTACAACTGGACCGCCCAGATGTCAAAGAAAACATCTGTGAGGTTTTGGAGCTTACTGCATTTCCCAGAAGTGGAGCTAAAAATAGCAAAAAAAACTAAATCCAGGTATGTGAGTATCAGAACAGCGCTGGAGGGATGCCGCTGCCAAACAGAAGACTCCAGGAAGTTGGGATCTTCCATTTGTTGGGCTCTTTGCTCTGCAACGAGAATCAAGACAAAATGATTAGAGAGTGTACAGTCTCAAGTCACATGTTGTACTGCGGTGAAGAGTTCTTAAGTGCTGACTAATTCCCATTTTTTCTCTCTAGTTTCTCTCAATACTGTAAAGTATTAGAGGTTAAATATCTCTTCAACCAGACTGGAGTTAAGACTGTCTGCATAAGTGTGTCACTCACAGGGTTGTCCAGCAGGTGGAGCCAGTCGTTCAGGTGGTTGACGAGCGTGAAGGAATCCGGGATGTTGTCCCCCTCCGAACAGAAGAGCAGCAGCACAGCCAGCGGGAGATCCTCCTCACAACTGAACACATCATTCAGCACGCATGATCAGAAAATACAAAAAAAAGATCTTAAGAACATAAACCTTGTGCTAGTTTGTTAAAGTGTCCAGATAAAAACACCACATGTTGTGTGGTATTTACGATTTGTGTTTTGTTATTTATTACTCAAGAGAAAGTCTAGTTGTAGATAAGAACTTTACTATGACTAACTGGGCCGAAATACTAACCAGCTACATGTGCTGAAAGTGTGAAAGTGTAATATCAACAACAATGAACATGCAGTTGAAAATACAAAACTATGAATCTTTTTTTTACTTCTTAAATCTCTGCAAAATGATAAATATAAACTGTAACAAAGATTCAAATTGAGGTCGCTCCTTTCTCTGCACCTGTCTGTGTAGAGTCCTTTTGTTATTCCTCCTCCAGGGATGTAGAGGCGTGGTTCTGTGCTGGCGTCCGTCAGTGCGGGGAAGGCCGGCACTCGCTCCATCTCCCTCCAGCCGAGTTCTTTAAACGCGTCCTCGCTCACCTTATGCAGAGACGGAGTGGCCAGGTACCTCAAAGGAGTGCTGAACACAGACACGTTTGATTTGAAGACGTGATTTGAAATAGCACACAGAGAAGGAATGTCAACGATGATGTTGATGAGTTTGTGTTCGGTACCCTTGTAGCTGCTGGTCGTCCCTCTGGTAGGCGTGGCTGCTGGACAGAATGACGGTCCTGGAGAACCCGCTGGCTTTGATCCATGTCACCACAAGCTGCCTGAACTTTTTGGATTTTGTCTGCAATAGAGCATAATAAGAGCTATCAATGCAGGTCCATGGATAGTCTAAAAACTAGTTCACATGTTCTTAAAACTCAGTTAAAAATCCTGAATTATACAATTAAAAAAATGATGTCACCAACTACCTGAATAATTGGCGCCCTGATTTGAAGAACTGCCAACTTCAGTTCTGCTGCTATGTACACTGTTGATGGAAAAAAGGTTGAACGATTAAATGATTTGATTTCTGAATGTGTTCAAAGCCAGCAACAGAATAAACTTTAGAGGAGCTTACTTACAAGTTATTCACAGTTTAAAAACAATGTGGAGGACCAAGCTGGGCATTGGAATCTTATATTTTTCAATACAGATCAGTGTTTGTACTGCAGGTTTATCAACCAGATTTTTTGTATTTTTGGGTGCTTTATTGGAGAGATGAGACAGTGAATAGAGTTGGAAATCAAGAAATTGAGAGAGGGAGTGAGCCACATGAGCTACAGGTCGAGTTTTGAACCCAGGTCGACCTAGGACCAAAGCCTCCTGTGCATGCACGTTAACTAACCACTTTGCCACTGGCGCCACAGTCAAGGGAAACAGGAAAGAAGGATCATTAATTGGTGTTAATAGCAGAATTGACTAGTTTACAACTTAATCAAAACAGGTCTCTCTTTGCTGTTCTTTAAAACGACAGAATGCATATTTAATATTCTAAATCAGCCAAACATCAGTGACTCAAAGACGTGTGTGTGTGTGTGTCAGCAGGGATCAATCATCACCTTCTGCAGGTGTGTGCAGCTCCTCTGCATCTCCTCTGCAGGTGGCATACGGGTTGTTACCAGACATAGGTATGAGGCAGTCTGTGTGTATGTATCCCGCTCTGGTCATGTTGAGAGTGGACACCATGAGGTCCACAGCCAGCTGACCCACATTACCAACAGCCACTGCTGGCTGCAGGAGAGAACACAGTTAACAGTGTTAGTTAGTTTTCATGTCTAGAGTCTGGACTTTAAGTTGGACAGAAAAATAAATCAGAGGATTATAAAAACATTTACTAATGACCAAAACTATGGACAACACATGGCATGCTGGGAGGACAAAAACATACCTGAAATAGTTCTATCAACAGAATACTTTAAGCTCAGTTCAAAGTCAAATGAAGGGAGCTGATTCACACTGGCAGCAGCTAGGTGGAAATAAATACGTAGGCTAAATGTCGGCAGCTTTGAAATCTAGCAGGATTGCTAGAAAGATTAGTGCTGACTTATCGAAATTCTTGTTGTTTTGATTTCTGGCCCTTGTTGAATTTTTCTGTCCTTGCTCCAGTTTGTTGTCTGCTTACATTTGCCTGATGATTTCTTTTGGAAAAGTTTGATTTTTATTTATTTATTTTTACATATAATCCCCCCTAGTCTTGATTTATGTTTGAATTAACTTGTTCCTGTGTATTTTGCTGTTGTATGTTCATCTTCTTTAAGAAGAATGTATAAACATTTTTTGTTAAATTTGTCAATAAAGACGGTTAAAAAAAAAAAATGTCTGCAAGCTAACAACAGTATGGTGAGGGAATTTAAAACATATCACATGGTACCAACTATCGTAGGATTTTTGTTGATTATCATTTTAAAATATGTAATATAATAATAATAAAATAATAATAATAAATAAATAAATAATAATAAACAAATAATAATAAAATATATAAGCGTCTTTGAGTATTTAGAAAAGCGCTATATAAATCTAATTTATAATTATTATAATAATTATTATTATTATTATTAAAATGCCCAACTTTCTTGAACGCGTCTACAGAACTGATTTAAGTTTACAGACACAGTATGTCAAGACTTTGAGACGAAAATAAAGTTAGAGCACTTAGACATCTGTTATAACACATATCTACATCAGACATATCAGTAAGTTACTATAATAGAGTCTTATCCTCTAAACGAAACTAAAAGGTCCAGATGTAACACTCACCATGACCAGGGTGAAATCTTTGAAGGATGTCGGTGAGTTTTGTGAAGAGATAAACATGGTGTTGTTGAGAGTGCAGATGCACAGAGTCAAACAGAAGAAGAGCTGCAGATCAAGTTACGTTATTTATTTGCCCAAAATGTTATTCCCTCGGCAGTTTTTCACTTCTATTTTCATGCCTGGTGTTGTGGGCCTTTATGTCTCTCTCTACGCGTCGACTCTTGATGATTAGATAGGTTTAGTACATGTTGTCAATGCCTGAATTTTAATTTTACAAGCGACTTTATTTTGGGGATTAAAACCCAATAGTAAAGGTAAAGCCGCATGATATTATCTCTTTTGAATCCGTCAATTTCCTCTTATGTTGAAATATTTTTTTTGCAGTAGCATTATAATCAGGCATAGTCACGGCCAGCGGCAGCTTCACAAAGAAGTTGGGCATTGTAGAGATCAGCAACTCCGCTTAAAAATAGTGCAAACACATTTACACTATTATCAAAAAGGGTGCTTTTTTTATTTTGACTGACGTGAACCATTTAATGATTTTAGAAAACTTAAGGTTAAACATTTCTTAGAATTAGTTGAAGGATAAACTCAAAACAGCCCAACGAGTCTGAAACAGAAGATACTCTTATTTGCTAACCTGTAACTAGAAGCACAAGAGGGAAGGAAAACAAAGATCAGTTTATCATTTCAAAAGTGTAAATAATTTATTAGAGGCATTTCAACCATGGCTCAATTTATTTAACTTGTTTGACCCTGCTGACCACAAATGTTCTGCTAGTGTTGTTAATGATAGTGAGGACATGGAAAAAAGACAGTCATGAAAGATGATGCTGTGTGGAAGGAGTTGATCCTAAATATAAATGTGCAAAATCAGAGGTAGCTTTATTTCTTCTTATCTTATTTGTTTTCAGGCATTGCAGAATTTTCTATTTTTTATGTAAGAGCTATTCAATAAAAAAAAATGAGGTGCCGCTCACTCTAACACATTTATCTCAACTTGTAATTTCTCATCCAACATTTGTTCACAGACCTATGGTTTTAAACATGTCTAATTGCTACTTAAGTAATTTTAAAACAGTTTTAAACAGTTATAACACTCATTACAGTAGATCACTGGACGGGTTAAGACCTATAAAAAGTACTTCATTTCGCAACAACTGGAGCCAGATGAATCAGTTAGTTATTTTGGCTTGACTTCATTGGGAATAGATCGCCCGTTCACTGCAGCCACGGCATTGTCAACCATCCTCTGCACCATCTTTCTTGTTGTATTATGAGTGTTGGTGCCGACGTGGGGAGTGATGAGCACGTTAGGAAGGTGAAGGAGAGGATGATCCCTGCAGAAGAAGAAGAAGAAGAGGAGGAGGACGAGGAGGAGGAGGTAGTTAAGATGGTGAATTTAAAATGTGGATTTGAAATCGTTAACACAAAGCAAAGCAACAGTTTTTAATTATAGCTCAGTTTTTGGTTTCCAACAACTCATGTTGTAGTATCTGGCAATGTTATAGTTAAATACCCAACTTTATGTTCAAGTCTACAATTCTACAATTCACTTAGCAGACGCTTTTATCCAAAGCGACATACATCAGAGAGTAAGAACAACACAAGCAAGGATCTAGAAAAAAGAGAACAATGTCAGTAAGAGCAAACGATCAGCTTTGAGTCTGATTGGACACACAGGTGCTGACAGGAAGTGACCAGAGGCAAAGCACAACATTGAGGGCAGTTCTTGAGAGCTCTAATCAGTATAGAAACCATCTTATAAGTCATTGTTATCAAACAAAAACCATCGTCATTACCATCATCATCATCAATAATATGGAGACCATCATCATTAAGTTAGTAGGTATTCATAAAGAGCTGGGTCTTGAGCTTTTTCTTAAAAGTGCAGAGGGACTCTGCAGATTGAATGGAGTTAATTTAGCTTCCTGCTATGGCTGGTACAATGACAAAATAGAATATATATAGAAATATTACTCAGGTTAAAGATAATATGTAAGACCTTGGTAAAGGTTCAGGGTGAGTCACGTCCAATGCTGCTGCACAAATGGTTCCAGACTGCAGCGCTTTGACTAAAGCATCCTGGTCCACCACCAGACCTGAGACATGACAAGAAACAAGATAACAGGTTTCATTTCAGAATAACTCCAACAGTTAACTTCTGCAATTGTTGAACTGAAATGGCGCTCACCCCTGCTGATGTTCACCAGTGTTGCTGTGGGTTTCATGAGGGAGAGCTCTCTGTGACTGATCAGACTCGTGGTTTCCGGGGTCAGGTTGACTGACAGAACGACAAAGTCTGACTCATGCAGCAGGTCGTCCATGTTCTCACAGTAACTCGCCCCGACCGCCTGCTCGTCTTCAGAGCTCCTGAACAGCACAGAGAAGAGATCAAGCTGACAGTAAACAGAGTGCAGCTCAACAGGATTATGATTAGTTTAAATATGTTTTAAATATATGTCATTACAGCAGTGATATATCTGCAAACTGAGAAAGCTTACTCGGTGCAATGTGACACATTATTATGTGTCACATTGCAATTATACAATGTACTACATACCTAATTATAGGTTTAGTGCCAGAATTGGATATACATTTGTAAGAACAAATCACTAAAACTTGTTTAAATTATACTCAATACAATACAATTTTGTTCTCAAGATCAGATATATTATGCACTGGGGCGTGCTGGTGGCACAATGGTTAGGGCGCGCGTCCCATGTATTGAGACTCTCATCTCGAGCGGTAGGCCCAGGTTCACCTCCACCCGTGGCCCCTTTCCGCATGTCATTCCCCACTCTCTCTCCCTGGTTTCCGACTCTATCCACTGTCCTCTCTCTGCATTAAAGGCACGAAAAGCCCAAAATAAATCTTTAAAAAAATATAGATATATATTATGCGCTCCATGTCAGTTCAGAAGCTCAACACATATTATTGAGATATTTGTGTAATATATGTAGTTTATTTATTTACAATCAACTGTCTTTTTTGCAGCTGACCTCAGTGACTCAGATGTTCTTTTTTCATCTTTTTTATTAACCAAAACCCTTCTTAATGATCAAAATCACGTTGAACTTTTTCTATGATGAAACTGACCTCCTGTTCCTATTGTGATACAGGATCTTCATGTCAAACCCTTTTGCCCTTTGAGCTATCTTGCAGCCGATGTGTCCCATTCCAATAATCCCCAGAGTCGACCCTGTGACCTCAACTCCCATCAGGTCTAGTGGTGTGTGGGTGGTATTTTTGTCCGTGGCTATTTGGTGACCTAGTTCAACATAAAACACAGACGTTTGGAATAACAAAAACGGATAACTAACTAAATGGAATTGATTTGATTTAGTTTAGTCGCCTGTTTGTTTGTTGCTTTAACTCACCCTGAACAATCTTCCGTGCAGATCCCAGCAGCAGAGCCATTGCGATATCTGCCGTGGCATCGCTCACCACACCAGGTGTGTTGGCTACCTTTACTCCCAGGCTGTTTATGTATGGCACATCCAGGTGGTCGATGCCCACTCCTCCGTTGGAGACCACCTTCAGCGAGGGGAGCAAGCGGAGAAATGAGGGCTCGGCCGGGGGGAGGTTGTACCACACGAACATGGCCTGGATCTTAGGACCGTACAGCTGGGAGTTTTGATGGAAGTCTTTGAGGCAGACGATGTTGAAGTGTTGTTTCATTATATCAGTGAATTCCTCCAGGTAACCGTTTTCGCCCACCTCGGAGAACAGAGCCCATGGTTTGTTGTCCTCCATTACCTGGAGCGATTTAACAGAAATTAAAAGTGGGACAAGCATTCAAACACTTTAGTTCAGAAAATGTCCATGAGTAGGTAGAGATTAAGCAAATAGTTTCAGATTTAACTGTCTTTTAATGATACTATATCCAAGTGTTATAAAAGGCTACTTAGAGGGCAGCATTTACGATTGCCCTGACTGCCCAGACCTACAAGAGGTCAAAAGATAGGCCTTTTCTTTAATCAAGAATGTGATATAGTGGAATCAACTCTACGTTTGGTTTTTAGAACCATATGCACCGGAAAACAGTCTATTTAAAACATGTTTGAGTAATAAGCTGGAAAAGTCAACAACACAGGCATTTCTGTAGAAAAACTACAGATGTAATGTATCTCAAGTTAATCTATAATGACTGAAACGAGATAGAAAAAGCTTGCCTAGGCTTGGCCAAAGGTTAAAATAAACAAATATAATAAAAGACCTGCCAACCAGCACATTTACGTTTTCATTTTTCAATAATTATCACATTAAAAAACCTGGAAAGAAAAAAGTAAGTTATAACTGGGGGGGGGGCGCTGACTACGGCCGCTGAACAGTTGCTAGGCAACCAAAAAGAACCGATATAAAGTTACTGCTCTCCTTGGACGGATATTTATCATAGACTGTAAATATTACTATAGATATTCACTGTCTGTATGCTAAGCTGAGAGGGTGTTTGATGTTGCTTTATCTTTATTTAACTGACATTGCTATTTATATTCTCACATTTTGTAATCAACATTTCACTTAATTACTGTTTAATTCATCGAGTGAATGTTTCACTATGAACACGTGAATCCAAGATGGATGTCGCAGATCACTTCACATTTCACGAAGTCTACACAGACATTAGCTTACTACACGTTAAATCAAACATTAAATACAACTGACGCATTTTAAGGTCACAATCTAATAATTCAGTAATGCAGGAGGAGCTCTGCAAAGGTTAGGGACTAACCGGAATCTACTCAAAAGTTTGTCTGCCTCTGGTTTCTTTCTGCTCTTGAACCAGGAACAACAATATGGGGAGTGTCGAAGATTTCAAAATAAAAGCTTCTCTCCTCAACAACGACATTCGTCGCTTCTAGGCCTACTACATTAGCCTATACTTTTATATTATCAAGATGACACCAACATAAATAATGGCAATAATGACTGCTTTTTAAAACGTACTTTTTCATTAATTATTTGTTCTAGTTTTCTGTTGTTTAAGTCGGTCATGCAGTATAGGCTATGTTTTCATATGATTATCAATATGAAACATGTCAAACTCAATGAACTGGTGATGGGAATATACAACAGACTGTAAATAATATGAATAAATCTGTTGCCCCTGTGCATGCTGGAAGGCTTTAACTATAGTCACAGACATGTGGGTCAGAAAGGTCATCAAGACTATCCTGTTTAATGGCTAACCTATTTAAAAATGATGCTTAAACCAAACAGGGGACTGGGAAACTGGTTTAGCTTTGGATTCTGACCCATACCTCAGCCAAGGCATCTTTCATTCTCCCTGTTTTATGTCTTTGAAAATGGCCAATTTTGAAATGTAATTTTTCAACTAATTGTCCCTCCACTTATTTTACTTTTAATCATTATTTATAGAATAATAATTTATGATTTAACCCTTCCTATCTGGTAACTGTCCATGTATTTTTTTGTACTCCAGTGCTATGAAGCTGTAATGAAATTCCAAACCTTAATCCTGATGACATTGCTTTGACATGATTGTTTTTTCTCACACTGTAAAAACTCAAAAGTTGTGTGTGTGATCAGTGCATTGTCCCATTGAACTGCACTTGTTTGCACTTAACTAAAAAAGTTGACTTAAGTTTAAGAAAAAGGCTGAGTTAATAATACAACAAAATGACTTGATTTTAACCATCAGTCCTGTCTGACCTGCATTAAACACGTTTCCAGTACCTCTACTATGTTAAACTCTAAATTCCTCTGCACCCAAACAAACATCATATTCACCCTTTTGCCAACGACATTCAACAAAACAAAAATGTGTTTTTTTATCCAAATCACACAAATACCTTTTTGTGTTGCATGTGACAAGCAGATCTGTGCAGGTTAGCGACTCTCAGAAGACGGTATGTTTGTGCTGGATCCCACAGTTTTTTCATATATCGGACAAAGCAGAGACTTCGCATTCTGGGCTGCTAATCTGTCCAGTGTTGGACAAAAAAAATAAATTAAAAAAATGTCATGCATTTAAAGTAAAGTCAAAGAAAATCAAATAGCCATGAATAAATGATTGTCATGACACTTGTGGGTCAACAGACTTATGGGTGCTCAGAGAGACAATTAATTTTATTATTTGAAAACGGCATTACATTTTCACTTACAGTTGGTTAAGCTCTCACCTTACTGGAAGTATAGTTTCCTGACTCTCTGCTGTAAGTTGCAGAAACGGGGTGTCAAGAGGAAGACATTCAGCTGTTCTTGATAGTATCTGACCTCCTGTTTGACTTTAACTGAAGTTTCACGTTCAGAGACTGATCATAGAGTCGTCTGCACCCAGTGGCATTTTTCATTCAGGCACAGTGAGTGGCTGCAGTAGGCAGACCTCCAGGCTTGTGATTGCATAAGACTGAGCAAAGCAACCAATGTTCATGTATTTTCCCACCGCCCATAAAGCGACAGTACACACACAAAACAACCCGTAGAGATCTAGCTTTTAATACTTTTTGGGTTGACTTGCTGTCCTTTTTGCAGTTTTTCCTCCTTCTTAGTGCCATCATTTTACCCAGCGAGTTCTTGTTTTTATGAAGAATCTGATGATCCTGAAAGAGGAAGTAAAGCAACTGTAGCGGCAATTAATGATTGGAATTGCTAGAGCATGTAATTGGAAGTGCATGCATGCAGACAGTTCAGCAACAAAATATACCACTAAACAAAAATCTATTTATCATAAATATATGCAAATTGTGTCAAATACAAACCTTTGGTTTGATAAGAAAGGCGGATAAATAACATTTGTAAAAATGTGCCTAGACTTACATTATCATGTTTTATAAAAAGCCAGGTTTTTGGGTTAGTTATCAAGCTATTTGACCAAACTGATTTTTAATTTGTGAACTTTTGGCCTCTGTGAGACTTTGCAGGAAGCCCTGATTGTATCATTTTGCTAAAAAACAACAACAACATCAATTTATGGCTACATTCACCACAAGGTTTTCCACCCTCTAGGAACCGAAGCCTTTTGAATCTGAAACCACTAGGTGGCAGTAACAGTTTAACAGGAGCCTGTCTTATAAAGTGGCCATGCATAGAGTTTACATGTGTTTGAATGGGCTTACCTGTTTGAGTCTTTAAACTGTGGCTCTCCCTGCATCAATGCTGTGTGCAGTAGTGTTCTTTATTTTGAGTGGGATGGTTGACTATATAGCTAACTTAGTTTGTTTTATTCGCAACAGCATATCAAAAGAACAACAGAAAACACTGTGTAAGAGTGGTTCCCAACATTTTTAGCATACCACTCCTTGTGACCGATTAAATGGAAGGTATGTGCAGGTTATTGCCTTATAGCCTAGACCAGAGAGTGATTTTGCATCAGCAGCATCCTGCAGATGTAAAGACCTTTTTATCATGTAAAAATCAATCATGCCTAAGAACAATTTATCCATCTCAAGTCTCTTCGGAATAAGTGATCATCAACCTTTAAAATAGTTTTTTGTAAATGTGCGATATAAATAAATTACCTTGAGTAAACCTCAAACCTTTCCTTGACTTATTGAGCATGAGTGCTGTTTTTTTTAAATTTGAATTTTACCTTTATTTTACCAGGTAGTCTCATTGAGATTTTGTAATCTCTTTTTCAGTGGCAAATAAAATAATAAAAAACACTGAAGTAACAGACATCAAAAACACAAAGTAGATGCATGGCCAATACACACATCAGACAAACACATTAAAAGTCAAGTCCAAGTGTCCAATGCAGGGCTATTAACATAGACAACTCCCAATTGATTTAGATTGGTGGTCTTGCAGCATTGCTTTAAATTCCACTAGAGTGACCAGATCACTCACAAGTCGGCCTGTAGTGTGTTCCAGGTATTGACTTCAGATGCACTCTCTCACTCCTGGATTTTGTCATTAAAGATTTTTCCATTGCTGTATTTAATTATTTTTCTCTTTAATAGCTTGTCAAACATTGGATTTTGTTTAATGCGGCTTCACTCTGGATTTGGTAACAGTTGGTAACAAGGAGTTAGATATGATGTGATTGTCTACATGTGCGTGTAAAGTAATGGTCTGTCTGCGTGTGTCTATGCCCGTGAGTCCTGCAAAAAATCCAGAGCATCAGTGAGGGCCATGTGTGTGAGGCAGCTGCAGATCAGCAGCTTACCTGCTGATTCACTATTGCATAATCTCACCACCTTCATTTATCTGCTTCTCACTCCTCCCCCCACTCCTGTATCTACCATCCCTCTTCACCTCCACCGATCTCTTCTTCATTGTTTTTCTCAGTCCCTCTTATCAACTCCCCCAAACTTTCAGGAGTCAACAAGGCATCTATCAAGCCAGTTAAGATCTCAAGCCAATTTTCCATCTGCTGCCACATCCAGCAGCAGGAGAGTTTTTAAGAAAGTGCTGACTCACGTGAATTATTTTATTTCTGCTTCATTCTCCATATTCCAATAACGGCCATTTTCCTTTTACATCTCATCAGGATGGGAATTCTATATTTCTATATTTTGCTAAATATCCAACTATCCATCCATTTCATTGTGAACATTTGAAGAAATAGGGGGCTGTTTTCAAATTAAAACAATAAATGTGATAACTCATTAGCTACAGTTAGACGTCAACTAATGCTAGCATTAACCGCGTCCTAGCTATCTTTACTGTTTTTAATGGAAACAGTACAATAGCAAAGGCATCATTTCCTAGCTAACATTACCATTAGCTTGAACAGTGTTAAAGTGTTAGCTTGCTTATTCTTGGTTATTCTTTGCTTATAGTTTTCTTTGCCAAAAGTTTAGATAAGTAGCCTACAGTCCTAGCTAACATTTCTGTGATAATTTATTTTAGCCATACAGTTTTCTAACTGTAGTGTTAGCTTAGGAATGTTTGAATACTTATATTAATTGTTGTCTAAGGTAGCTATAAATTAATTAATATGTTTTTTTAAATGAAATATGGCCTGGATTGTCTTTGTCTTTTTAGTTGGAATAAACAGGAAGTTAAAAAAGTAACCATATCACTAAATCCCTATGGTTTCTGGGACACAGCAATATGACATTATGAGCTTTTAACACCATCCACCATAGTTTAACGTGACTTTTGTCCTTGATTAAAAACATCAAAGATCCGTCACATGACGTCAAATAAGAGGTTAGTTGTATTCTCAGGCAAATGCAACACACATTACAGATATTTGCTCAAAGTAGCTCAACACCTGTATCTCCTTATAAATCCTTTACAACCATGAGATAAACATTGTGTGGTGCATTTCACTGTGTCATGTTTGCAAACAGGTGAACCCTTAGTGTTGGCTCTACCTGACCAGTGGTGTCAGGCTTTGTATTGTACAGCATGTTGGGAAGACTAGCCTAAGTGATAAAGTCCTTAGGATAACTCTCTATAATAGATTGCTGACGTGAGTCCTCAGCCTGACTCAGCTTATCAGTGCCACAGAGCTGTTTGAAGTCAAGGTGTAGCTGCTTCTCACTCTGCCTCCTCCAAGCAGATAAAAATAAAACTCCTAAACAATGAAGATGACTCGGCTGTACCTTTTATAAACGGTGTCTCTGTTGCAGTGTCAAATCTGCTTCCTTGATTTTTACAGCTGAAGGAAATCACAGTTCACTTCATTTTAAAAGTACAAAAAGAAAGTTTAAACAATCAAGATGATGCAGCTAAAGCCCAAAGTCAATACAATATTTAATAAAAAAAAAGTAAAAAAGAAAATAAATCGCTCATCCATTAGAACCAGTGGGCCTTGAGCATAAATTATTCCTTATAAAAGTATTAATTATGCACAACAAATTTGAACAATGTCTTTCTTAATTATTATTCAGGCTTCTCTTTAATGATTGCATAAATAACTTTGATTCTGCAATAGTTTGTGGAAGTGAAGCTGTAAAACCAAACAGTAAGCAGGGAGCTCAAGGTGGGAAGACAAAACATGTGATGTCTGCTTTCAGTATTGAATCTGACAATGACTAACATTTCACTGTTTCTCAATTGATGAGCAACTAAAAAGACCATTGAAAGTTAAATACCAGAGGGACATTAGAACATTTATCAAGGTAAAACGTAATGGTTTGATAAGGTTATTATACAATTAGACAACAGTTATTGCAAGCAATCAAAGTCTTTCCATGCTAATGTTAGGTTAGCTAGATTGTGCCTTTCTAGCTTACATTACAGTAGTGAGGAATTTACACCCTTCCTGTCTATTCTAACAAATGAAAATATTAGCTTTTTGGCCACTTACTTAGCTAACAGTATTTCTTCCTAGTTGTCAGAATGCTAGCATTAGCTGTTTAAAACTGTAGCTAATGGGATAATAATCATATACAAATATGTGTTTTAAACTCTGCAGTATCCTTCCAGATATCCCCTGTGTATTGAATATTCAGTTGATTAACCCATAACTGTTGATATGGAAATAATTTGCCAAATACACTATGTATACACCTTACATCTTGGACCAACAGTTTGACAATCTTACAAAGCCTTTCCTCATTTTGTGCCTTTAAAATAAATCTTTTTAGAACATGCATAAGAACAAATAATGTATTTGCATGTATGTGCACATATTACAGAGAAATTGTGCTAAATGTTGTCGAACTCTTTCAACAGGAACCATTTGGAGCCTTTTGAAATAATTAGTGGACATTGGCAGTACAATTCGACTCAGGCAACCCCCTCTGAGGGTTTCATCCCTGGGCTTTTCTGGGATGTGCTCAGAGGATATCCCCTGCTGCAGGTGCTGCTTGTCATCTTGCAAAAATACAACAGAGACCGGCAAACACACAGAGACACAGTTCACACCTATGTCTGTCTAATCATTCTGAAGACGCTGAACACGCAACCCTCAGCATGTTCTGGTTGAGAATAAATTCACCTGCCTGGTAATCCAGTGAGCCTGAGCATTAGTGTGCTGCTCATGACGCACAGCAATGAAGTCACAGGTCGGCACTTTGTTCTCTGACTGCTAGAGGATCACCTGCATGTCTCTGATGTCCAGCAGTCCAAAATTTGGTTTAAAAAATGCAGGGGTAACCTCCTGCATATATTGAAAATAAAATACACTTGCATATTACAATCCTTACACGGGGTCGTAAACCACACATTTTTCAGTTATAGATACTTAAAAATTTGGAATATAAAATATCGGAACTGAAACAGAAAGTGTTAAAAACTAATTTTGGTTTCAATCTGATGGGTGAATTTCTGGGGGAGAACTTCTAAAGAAGTGACTTTCAGCTTTCTCTTTCTCTCAATAAGATCATATTCATTGGCCAAGGTATCACTGCCAGCGAGCTAAGCTATCCTAAACACTTTGGCCGCACTCCCCTGGCAAGTTCAGAACATCAGGTTAGGTAACAGATAATCAGCGAGAAGAGGCTGTTTGCTCCTCTACTTTGCAGCTCATTTCTCCATCTGCACCAGCTTCTTAGCCTTGTCTTGTCTCTAAAGCCGCTGTTACCTAATGACAGAGCCCCGTGTAGAGACATGGGGCTGGCTGATTTAGAAGTTGGCTGTGTAGTTCAAAGCCTCTTGGTGTTTGAGAAGGTCTCACTGATGTGCACATAGGTACTTTATGTGTGTGTGCTGGGAAGGGGGTGAGAGCAGAGTTGCTCTTCAGTGAAGAGTCAGTTAGATCAATGTTATGCAAACCTATTAGTCAGAGGTTGCACGGCTAACTGAACAGTACTCAGGCACTCTCTCTCAGGGTCAAACTCTGATGAGCTCTCGCTTCTGTAAAGAGTAAATAAAAATGTTTGTTTATCAGTTTTAAGCCTTATAATGACACAGAAATGCTATGACACAGAGAATGACTCAGACTGCAAACGTCAAGGCTTCAGAGACTCCTGAACTTTGTTTGATCATTAAATATTGATTTATAGGTGTTTCATTATTTTTTGCTTGCAATTAATCGGATTTGTTGTATTGTTTAAAAAAGATAAGTTCATAATTTTCATCTTTATTATTATTATAAACCAGGCTTAGTAAATTTGAGGTTTCCTACGACTTTTTTTCCAGTCTGCTTCTGATAACAGAATGCATAGCACTTTCTTTTGCATGACTGTTCTTGAAATCTAGATTTTTATGATTTTCTGAAAAGTGTTTCTGGAGGCTCTCCATGCAATATTGTGTTAAAATGTAGATGTTCACGAAAAAACAAACTTGTGTTGAAGTCTGATCAGGAACCTTTGCTGCATCTTGATTTTTTATCATTCTTCTATGCTTCAGTTAACACACCACTTTGTATTGTAATTTCATGGTTATGTAAGTTACCAAAACAATTTGAAGTTGTTTTGGTTATGCTGAGAAATGTCTGTTATATTTTGCCCTTTCATAACTACTTTTACAATTGTTAGCTATTAATTGTGCAGCAAGCCATCTTTAATCACAGAAGCTGTGATGACGGCTTTATGCAATCATCATGTAAAACTTTAATGTTACAGTTATAAATGCAGGGATTTTGTTGACTCAACAGCTGGGAGTGGTTCTCAATGTACATTATAAGGCCATTAAGAAAATGCTCTCTGGAACATCGAATGAATAAGCCCTGTGGCTTTGACTTCCACTAATCATCTTAGGCAAAGCATGGCTCCCAATGTGCCTGCATGAGAACACTTGTCCTGGGCCACAGTAAATGCATGGTGGGTTATCATCACCATAATCCCTCTCATCGTCATCATCATAATCATCATGCAATACTCAGAAATAAACAAGCTCATCATTTTGTCACTCCAGCAGAACATATGGACCAGAGAAAATGTAAGGGAATGCTAAAGATGATATTTTAAAAAGAAATGCACAACTATTGATCTTTGCTATTTGAATTATAAGAATTGGTTGCATATAAGGGGAAAAACAGCAAGGCAATCAGGATACATAACGCATGCAAAATTATAGGTAGAAAGTAATTTGCATTGAAGGATTTTTGCATCAAATGCATTAGGGTATAAAATAAAAACATTTAGGCTGTTGTCACATAAGGACACATGCACTGAATTCCAGCACAATCAGCTGGTACGTCTTTTTTTTAACTTTCAAAATATTTGATATGCTTATTTTAAGTGAAATACAAAACATGATACAAATTAGGAAAACAAGGAACTTTAAGACACAGAAACAAAATACAGAAAGCAAAAACAGAGTTAGCAAAGAAATTAAATTGTACACCTTACATGATAAATATATTAAAATAAAACTATGACGCAAATGAAAAGAAATGCGTGTGAGTAGCATGTTAAATAAATAATAATAAATGAGAATATATATGAGAATGTGTTATTTGCTTAACAGCTAATTTCTGTTCAGATTTTTTACATGCTAACAAAGTCGTTGAGGTGCTGGGTTCTGGTCGCCAAGACAACGCGGCTTCCCATTGGCCGCTGAAGAACCACGTGTTGAACTTTCTTGACGTCACGACTACAGGCTGCGGGAGCTAAGCGGAGTATGTGCAGCGGCTCTGGGAAAAAGCTTGTAGAGTTTGGACTGAGAGCAGCCGGGCAACTCAAGCTCCTGTTGTAGCTCCTGCAACTTGTTTACTTGCCGGTGATTGTCGCTGAATATTTTACTGTTCACTCCAGGTAATGGACTATTAGAGAGACTTTCAACAGAGCCTCCCGAGCAACTTCAAAGCGAGGTAAGTTGTTGCTTATGTTGTGTCCGCCGTCCCTCCCTCGCAGTTTGTCCGCTTCCTGTTACTTTCTTTTTGTTACATGCAGCTCAGGTGAGATGACTTTACAGGTTCAAGCTGCCACCTAACAGCTTTAAACTCTCCTAAACACTCTTATCTGTCTGTAGGATTCAACTGGTATAACCTGAGTTACACATTTTATCCATAACTTTCGCAGTGCAGCAGATGCTAAGCTTTACCTACATGTCTAATCGGATGAGGCTGTTTTTCCTGTCCTAAATGGACCCCCCCAAGGGAGCCCTAGAGACGTGTTTTTCTTTGTACACGCTACTTATTTAATTGTTTGAGGGGGGGGGGGACAGGAAGTGAAAAAGGACTCCTGCTTCCAGCCATGGCCGAGTGAGTGTGTGGTATCTTATTTCAGCAAATACACATAAGTCTGTTAGTGGATTAAAAGCAGGAGACAGCGCATTGTTTTACTATGAGGAGGCAAGTGTGTGAAATGATTTATTTACTGTGACAGTACAACTTTTCATAGTACTCATCATCATCCACCCAATCAGTGCATGTAGTTTACAGTGCAGCAGCAGTTAGATGTGTCTTCACGGGCTGACTGTTTTGGGAATTTCAGTTTTTGCTGGTTATACAATTAAAAAACTTGGAAGGAAGTCAGGAATTAAGATCACTGCTCATGAGATCAAATATTAAGCACTTAGTAAGTAACTTGATCTTTTAATTTTTTAACTAATTTATCAAGCAAAAATATCTGATGTTTACACTTTAAAGCTTCTAAATGACCATTTCTCATGGAAAGGTTTTATTGGTATGCAGTCTCAAATTCACGTCTAATGCAATTTAAAACTACTTGTGAGGAAGCAGTTTGCTGATTAATCTGTCAGTCCATCAGCTGAAAATGTAACAGCAATAGTTTGTATCCTAGACAGATAAGTTGATGTCTTTTGTCATGCAAAATGCAATGCAACCTTTACTTATTCATTCATCGAGTGTGAGGATAAAACAATCAATCAAACAATGATGAAAGATATGCTCATTATTTGCTTTCTAGGCTGTATTGAATAGCTTCATAAGCAGAACACTTATTTTCCAGTTGTCTAACGGACAAGAAGGACCAAGGATTAAACAGACTGAAGAAAAGCTTGCTGCATTAAAAGAGGCTTGGGGAATAAAGAGACCTCACTGTGCAAAAGGACCATCACTGATAAACACACACTGTAAGGGGGCACCTCGTTTTTAGCCATCTTTGAAGCTCTGCAGCTTTCATAGATTTGTCACATTTTTAGACACCACATACTCCTCATTGCTTCAGAAAGTCATGACAAGAAAATTGAAAAAACCCATGGAGGTGCTGACCGAAAGGGTGGAGTCCAGATAATAGTGCCCTCGGCGATAAAAACATCCCTCCAAGCACTTCAAGATGCTGAGCTCTTACAAATATGTGCTAAATTTGAACAGATGTTCTATTTTCATCTGCGTGGGTGTGTTGGGTTTGTTTAGGCCAGACCGACCGCACTGGCAGCATCCTTTGTAGTTATACTCGTCTGGGCAGCATGCAGTTTGGGCTTTTCTTGAATTGATTTAAACCTTTTTAAGAGGAGGCAAGTGAGTGAGTGGAAGAAAGCATGGATTATTGGAAGGATACAACTGAACAAAAGATGGAGCAACAGAGCTTAAATTTGCCGAGGTAAATATTGTGACAGAAATAAAGAAAGTCTGGTCTTTCCAGAGATAATTTTTTGGATTAAAAGCCTCATTTTCACACATGCTGGGCGACAGAAATGGCTTGCAGAGAGGGGTGGGAGGTGTTTAGTCATCAGACAGATTGACATTTCCATCTCTGCAGCCTTTTGTCTTTAAAACAGGCTGTTTCAGAGAGGCACAGTTAGATATTCAGTGAAAAGTAAACAGCAGCCCCCCTCATACAACCAGTGACAGTTTCCTGCGAATGTGAGTGTTTTGTCCAATCCAGGGTCTGTTTTGCAGGCCTGCCTCCTTGCAGTTGTTTTCAGTGACATGTTTTTATCTTGTTCTCATTCGCTGCCTCATAATGGCTTCTCTGTCATGATTGTGGTTTTCTGCAGCGTCTTGACGCACAAAGCGCTCTGGTTGACAATAGGAGCTCATGTGTGCTGCATTATGATGAAGTTGCTGCCTCAAGTTTTTCACTGAAAAGCTGGAGTGGGATGTTAACCAACACTAAGAGACAGAAATTAATACTTTAAATGCATTTTTTAAGAACACTTTTTTTGATGATTTGTCTCAGCTTGTAGCTTTTGTTGTCGATGAGACGAGTTTGGATTTTCGGTCTTAACGCAAGTTTTGTTGAAGTTTTTTTACGCTATTCAGAGTCCACTGATGCACATTGTTAGAGGCTTTGATAGAGGTGGTATTGTAACGAAAACAAACATTTGCTCATGAAGCGGTGGCTATTTTTAGTTTGTATTTTAAGGTACAAAACAGTCTTATGTTTGCACTCTTGTGCAGGAAGCTTGAAAACTGGGTAAGAGTTGCAAATTGCAATTTGTTCTTCAACCTGCTGATTAAGTTCTTAAATTATGCATTGGTCAACAAGATATCAAGAAATGGTGAACATTTTGCTTTTGTTGTCTGTTCAACAGTCCAAGACCCAAAGACAATCTCCTTTGTACTTTTCACACTTTGTAAACCTTTCTGCCAATACTTTGTGATAAAGATGCCATCGTGACCTGATATGACCTTCCTTTACTAGTGGCCCATGAGTCCTGTTTTCACAGGCATGCAGCATAAGATCAAAACTTCTGCAGTGGTAGATCAGCTCAGACCTTACACCAAATAACACAGCAGATAGAGTTGCAGTCAGATATTGAAGAAGCCACTGAAACATCCTACACACAAGAGCGCTCGCTCGTCACGATACTTGCAATGTGAGAACAAGAAGTGCTCCCAAAGCTATGATTGCTTTGCTGCAGCAGCAACTTCAACGGTGGTTTAAAATGTTCTAGTGATCAGACACATGATTGCAAAAGTGACTGCAGCTAGCAGGTGTTGAAGGTGGTTTCAGATAAATACATGTCAAGATGTTGAGGTGAGCCAAATGGAAAAAAAACAGAATTCTCCTTGTTTGTTTTCACACTTTGTTCCTTTTTTTAGCACGTTGAGAGGCTATAAGTTTTAGGTTGTTGGAGTTGATTCAAGACTCTGGATCTGACTAGTCTAAGTAAAACGTTTGCTGCTGTGTCATTTTCTCTTCTTCCTACACAATTATTAAACCTTACTGAACTTTAATGACACTGATGTTGATCTTTTGAACACGTAACAGAAAAAGGATATGAAACGAGTTTGCAGAAATGGTCTTTGGTCTTCAGTCTTCACTTAGTCCTGGTATGAGCTGTCACATCACATTGGGGATAAATCTCACCACAGACACTTGGATACAATTTTCCCCATTGTCCATTCGACACAACTCAAAGCTGATTCGAAGACGTTGGTACTACAGTTTAAAAGTGTAGAATTTTGTCTATAATCTATCTTTTAAATGCATGAACACATCCCAAAACAAGATGAATTGATGAAGTAAGTGAGGCTGAATAACGGCTAATAACCCAAACCTTAAATGTGTTCAGTGTGAGAATGAAAAGTTTTGGTTTTCTGTAAATTTAAGAAACAGTCTTCTTGCAGGGCCAAAACTGACATGTTGCATGTGTTTGTCCAGGTTTAGGCATGTTGTAAACCAAATGTACAACATTCATTCTTTTCAATATAAAGGATGCTGAACACAGTTAGTGATAAATAACGTTAAATACAAGAGAAGAGCCACAATGGTGGCTGTGTGCATGTCTCAGGTTATCCTCAGGTTTTCATATCTAATCTGAGAAGGGAAAAGCTCTTGGATTTTGTATCTTATCACGGCTGAAGTGAAACATAGTTATCTTATTTTCACCTGTGTGTAAATATCAGATTGCAGCTCTTGAACGTCTCATAAGTAGTTTGCTGTTAGGCAGAGAGCAGCTGGCTGCCCTCAGCTCTGCAGGCATGCTCACAGACAGATCTTGTTTCATTATGAATGTATCATTCATAAACTCTCTCTACCTGTCTTCAGCTCTCCTTCTTTCACTTTGGCTCGCTGTAGGCTTCCTACCCCCAAGCTCTCTTCGTCTCTGGATTATCCATGGGACTCTTGAGTGAAGATTTACCTGCAGGATATAAATGGAGACTTCTGCGTGTTACGTAAACAGGACAACAAGATGTTCCAGGATGACAGTCTCATGTAGGGCCTCTGATTCACGCAGCAAGGTCGAAGGTTAAGAAAACAGGAGAATATTTCAGTTTCTGAAGCAAGAAGTAGCCTTATGAATAAGATGCTTTGTCCTTTTTAAGAATAGAGTCCACATTCATCTTATTCATTTATTTTATGGTTTTAAATCGACTCCAACTATTTGATTTTCTTTAATTTAAGGTTTCCTTATTTTAGCCCCCCCTCCAAAATGGGTTAAAGCCTGCTGTTCATTTATTACCCATGAGTATGATATTAAGTAATAATTCTAAATCAGTACACTTGCATTACTATTTGTTTTGGATTGTGTACTCTATGTGAATCATGGTAAAGAAGATGGTGATGATGATTTGACGATATTGCTCTCAGTTATTGTTGGATAAGAAGACAGAAGCTTCTCCAGTTCAGACTTTGCTCTCATGTTGGCTGGTGTGTCATCTTCTTGTCTTTAGTTGATTACCATTTTGATGCTGCGGTGCATGTTGATTGTGCTAGGTGTTAACATGTGTCACATGATGTTGGTCTTGTGTGTACCAGCAGTGTCATTAGTAAGTGACAGACTGTTCTCCTCTTAACTAATACCGTTTCAGTCGACTATATTTCAGGCCTGTTCTCCTCTCAGACGCTCTCAGAAGGTTAAAATAGCCTATGACTGGTGTTTACTCACTTGACTTGACCTCAGGAGATGGTTCAAGGAGGTAGGAACTTGGCTCAACATGTGAACTGTCCACTAGTCAAAGCCTTGGTTATGCAACAGAACCAGCAGAGGTCTGGTGGCGGTAGCAGCAGCAGCAGCAGGTAAGAGTCTTAGCGGTTAATTGTAGGCTATGATCTCCGAGAGACCGAAATAGACGGGAATTGAAGGGATGTTCAGGGGAGGTCTGAGCTCTCATCTTGTCAATTATTCTCTTAAAATACACTGAAACCGTCATCCAGAAGAGACGGGGGAGGGGTTGGCATTGGATGTTACTTTGTGAGTCATGAATTTGTCCAAAACACTTAACGATAACGTACTGCTGCCTGCATGGAGCAGTGTGAGGTTCTTTTTACATTTCTGAAACTTTACTTACTATAACTCCCCATGTTGGCTTCTATGAGCTGATGATGTATAAACAGAATGACTAAAATGAATTGCTTATATATATTAAAAAGGGACGATTCAGAGTGTTACCAAGCGAAACATGTAACATGAAGACATTCATTCTTGTAGGACTCCATTGGCACAAGTTGTCAGCGATGAAATTAAAGGTCACCTGCACGTCTGTGGTCTGTGGGAGGAAACAAACAACCCACAGGGAGCAACATGCAAAAATTAGTTTGAACTGCACCCATCGTAGTGCAGTTTAAAAATCTTGAAAAAATAATATGTAGCTGAAGTGAATTAGGCCTTTTGCATTCAAATATCAGACATTGGGTTGAATAAGTTGGAAAAAAACAATTGCATATATAAGTGTGCTTGTGTTCTGAATGTAGCATGTGTGTGTTGATAAGGAAATGTAATTTAATTATAAATCTTTTAGTGTGCAGAAACAACAAGTGACAACAATATTCATTCAAGCCATTTATCAACATAAATACTAGAAATTAGCTGTATTAAGCTTTAAATGCAAAGACCTGTTTGTTATCTTTTTTTAACAGTGATTTAAAAAGTTATATATTTTGGTGAGAAGGAGCACAAGTTATTGTGTGTTGTACTTGTACATCATTGTCATATCAACATTTACATTTATTTCTATTACACATTCAAATACATCAAACGTATCAGTCATGACTAAATATGACTTGAAGTTAATTTGTTGTTGTTAAGCGAGTGAAATCATGACTGATTCCTCCCTCACTCGTGTAGAGAAATGAGGAGACAACATTTAAGCCGTTCCTCCACCTTGATGTGTAATAAGTTTGTATTAATGGAGCCAGTATAATTAGAACAGCAGCTTAAATCAAAGCACTCAACACAGAAAGATCCATTATTTGTTATTTGACTAAAAGGAGCTGTTCTCCTGAGGGAAATGTTTTTGGCAGTGTTTGACACAAAACAAGACAACCCCCCCCCCCCCCAAAAAAGGATTGTTCAGGTCAGTTGTCATGACAACAGAGCCTCAATAATTATGGGAGCGCTCAACAAATCCATTAAGAAATTAAAATTCAGACCAAAAAACTGCACAGCATCACAATAGAGTTTATGAATGAAGTGAAGGGAGTTGGTGCGGAATACATCGGCTGGTTGATTAGCAGAATAACAGTCCTCTAACATGATTTATTTATTCATAGAAGTGAGACAAACGTCTGGTGGGATGAGTTTGTCTAGAAGAAAAAATGTTTGGCTTCAGTTTTTCAGATCCTGCTATCGCTACATTATTATGTGTTTTGGTATTTAAGTTCAAATAAGAGAAAACAAGCTTAAGTGGCTACCTTAATGCTAACTTGCCTTTGTGAGTGTAGGTACATTTTAACATAAGAGCGAGAGCGAGATAAGAGGTCTAATCAGGTGAAAAATTGAAAACGTGTGTGTGTGTGTTTTCAGTGGCTTTTAAATGCCGTTGTTAAGACGATTTTAGTGCTGCATATGTTTACTTTGTAATTGATTAATCTATTATTTTATTTATTTCTAATCCGTTCTGAAAGCACCAGGGAGCATTACCCAGGGCACAAGGTGGTGTCATTAAAATATGCATGCTCTAATATTTTTGTTCAAAGACAAAGAATAAAAAAAGTCACATTTCAACCTTCAATGTTTGTTATTTTTCCCAGAAAATTATTCGTACATCATATCAGACGATCGACTATTACCTGATTTGACTAACTGCTACAGCTCTTAACATGTATAGTGTTATTGAAATAGTTTATTATAAGTCGTTAGTTAATACTCAAGGTGTAACTGTTGTAATGTAAGCAATCTCCTACTTGTGGGCAGACACACTTCTCTCATGAGACCCTCACTGTGCGTCTTGGCTCCGGGAGTGATAAGTGTGTAAACAGGTGTTAATCGACATTCGACTTCTCATGCTGCTCCAGAATTCAAGACGCTCATTGAGGTGAACTAAAGGCAAGAGCAGGGGACGCTTTCTAGAGGTTGGTGCCACATTGCCAGCGTGTTCACTCTGAGTTAATTAAAGGATTTTAGCTGGCTGTTTAATGCGTCATGTGAGTGTGAAATACTGACGGACAAAGACTGAGTCCTTGCATTAGCAGTTACCAACACTAATGGAAATTGAAAACACAAAAAACAGTTTCAAATCAATTCCAAAAAAAAAAAAAGCCAAATTGATTTGCGTAGAATATTCCTGCATTTGATGATTCTGTTAAGTCATATCCTGTTGTGTTTGTCACGGCAGCAACACCTCCATTTATGTTAAGTTTATTCAGTGAGGCGTCCTCTTTCAAGGGAAGGATTGCCGCTCCATTTAACCCTCATTGATTAATTAATGGATTATCTGAGAGGAGAAATGTCAGACAAGGCAAATTGCTTAGAAAACAGTCAACATGCATTGCTTTTGTTATGCAGCCAAATTGAAGTATTTTGCAAACAACTGAATTGTTAATTGACCACGGAATACAATATTCATGTCTCTGATCCATTTGCTATTTTATCTCTGGAGTCTTTGAAGAAAACAAGAGAGACCACAAACATTTCCAGGAAACATAGATTTAGCACATCATTACTCCCATTCCAGGAACAAGCTACCTGTACGGTCATTTTCTTTGCCCCGACCTGACATGGCTGATTTGTATCTGTCATTATCCTCGCCTAGGCCTAGAATAGCTTCCCTCTTGTCTTGAGCCAGGAGAGCTTAGCAGTGGCTAGTGGGGAAAGTTCTAAGCGCATTAGCTGCAGGGTTAGATGATGAACCGCATCCTCTGTTGACGGTTAAAGCTCCCCACTCACTTTCTGCAACCGCTCATTTGTTCTTGATGAGGGTGGTTGTACACTTGGAAACCATAAAACTAATTGGTTTTTTACTTCCTATTGCGTGTCTTCTCTGCAGATTTTATTTCAAAGGTCTTATCCAAACTCAAACGAGGTCCATAAAATATCTTGGATCGTTTAAACAGAGGACGAGTATGTCTGTTTAGAGACATCGGCATGGTTGCTGCCGCAGGAAGTGGAAGATATGTCTGCAGTGATGCACACAGATACTGTATATAAGCATGAATTAAGTTTATCAGCTGCACTTGTTTGACACTGAATGAGTGGGTGTAGTTGTGCGGCTAGGTGGCTGTGCACCATGAGAACATTTGGCAGTCTTGTGTTGCAGAGGAGACAAGACCACAAACACCACTTTATCCCCCTTTTTGCTTTTATCTAGTGAACTTGAGTTGTTGCTTTTATTATAGCTATTTGCATGTATTAATTGAAAACTAAATGAAAACAATTATTGCAGGCTGATCAAAAGTTGTTGAATTGAAGTTGCACCACACTTTAATCAGTTATTGGGTACAAAATGAAAGAAAACTACAGATGTAATCGGTGTCAAGATCAGATAAAGCTTCGACACGCATTTCTCTGCTTTCTGAAAGCTCAAGTACATCCTTCATTTTCATACATAAATGGTAAGTAAATGAAGGCTGAGCCAATAGTAGCACTCATTCAGGAAGTTTGCTTTGTGACACTATTCTTTAAGAGTTAAAGCTGCTGGAATTAAACTGTACAGCTTGCTCCACTGTCCCAAAGTGGACCAAAAGTCAGGTTTTCATGCAGGAGATTTCTGATTTGGTTTCTTATACGTGGATTAATTTTGTGGATATCAAGAAAAGGTTGTGTGTACTTCCCTTCTTGTTTCAGAAAGTCTCTTGGTCATTCCAGATTATTTCTAACAACCTTCTTCTCTCTCTTTCTTTCCTCCTCCCTGTCCACAGTCTAAACCGCCGCTGTCCTCACATCACCCACAGCCTCCGCAGAAGCAGCGACCATGGGCAAACAGAACAGCAAGCTCCGTCCCGACGTCATGCAGGACCTGATGGACAACACGGACTTCACCGAGCACGAGATCACCGAGTGGTACAAGGGCTTCTTGAGGGACTGCCCCAGCGGAGCGCTCTCCATGGAGGAGTTCAAGAAGATCTACGCTAACTTCTTCCCGTACGGAGACGCCTCCAAGTTCGCCGAGCACGTCTTCCGCACGTTTGACGCCAACGGAGATGGGACTATAGATTTCAGGGAGTTCATCATCGCCCTGAGCGTGACCTCTCGCGGTCGTCTAGACCAGAAGCTGAAGTGGGCGTTCAGCATGTATGACCTGGACGGGAACGGATACATTAGCAAGGCAGAGATGCTGGAAATTGTATCGGTGGGTTAATTATCTTTTTATTTTTTCTCTATCCTTCCTTCTCCTTAACTAGACTTTCTTCTTCTCTAGCTTTATATGGATATTGGTCTTTCAGCGTTCATTAAATGCCATCACAGTAACATCATTCTCCTGCAGTGTAGTAACATTTTGTTGAGTCATACACACCAGCTGCTGTATCATATATCCGTCTGCCTCTGAGTCCTGCACCATTTGACTACATGAGAACCAGCTGCTATTTAATTTTAGAAACCAGCAGTTCCTGTCAGGCCCATGATGTCTCTAAATAAGACCTGGTTGTGGTGGATTTCTACATAGAGGGAAGTTACTCCTACTCTGATCCTCATATTGACTCAGCACTGCATCCACTCACCATGCAGGTCAAGGAAGAGCAGTTCCCCTTTTACTGATGCCTCAGCAGCTCCACTGTTTCCTTACAACAAGCCACACACACACCATACTTATACCTGATAGATCTATGGATGGAACGACCAAAAAATCTTGATTATGATTGCTTAAACATTACCCCGTCTCAAAGCTGGGGAGCTGCTTGTTTATTTTCTTAATGTGTATTAAGACACCAAGAGATTTTTATGGCAACCTGTTAGACACCTTTCTTTGTAGCTCTGTCTCTTTGGCTTGAATACTTCCTGTTTTCAAAACAAGAGAGATAATGAAATTGATGGGGTGTATATATTTCATTGTGACATTCCAGCTGATGCTACATTGTTTAGTGTGTGGTTGTAGTTCTTCTTCACCTGGGGGCCATAACTGATATGAAACGTGATCGGACTGTTAGACTGTCTGTGTTTTATCTTTCAGTATGGGGTTCAGTGAAGTAGAAGATGTTAAAAGTGAGAGATGAGATGAGAGGCTGTTTGTTTTACGTATGATATTTTGTTTATGATTTCTCTCTGTGTTCTCTCTGTCTTCAGGCTATTTACAAGATGGTTTCCTCTGTGATGAAGATGCCTGAGGATGAGTCAACACCTGAAAAACGCACAGATAAAATCTTCAGGCAGATGGACACAAATAGAGATGGTGAGCTGCTGCCTTTCACTTTGCTGCAGTGAATTCTGATCAAACAGTGGTTTGCTTAAAAGCCTTTCTTCTACTGTGATGTATTATATATTATGTTGTTCATTATTGTTGCTTTAGCACTTTGTGGTAAGCAGTACCATTATGGCGTAGCCAGTTATAGACCTCAAAAAAGTCCACTTTGACTCTTGTCTCGGTCACATTAAGCATTATGTAATGCAATGTAAGCTTTGATATCACTTTTCCAACAGAACTATGACAAACTATTAACAAGTTGTAATAAACTAAAATGACATTTGTTTGTGTTAATTGTCAGTAGTCAGTTTCTTCATGTTGAGCCCATTAATGCCTGTGCAATGCAAATTGCATTGTACAGGCTGATTTCATGTAATAAAGCCAAAGTTATAAACGATAATATACTGTGTAAAGAAAAACCCCGGAATAAGCTTCAATCTTTTTCTCTGTTTGTCTCAGGTAAACTGTCCCTGGAGGAGTTTGTGGAGGGAGCGAAGAGCGACCCGTCCATCGTGCGGCTGCTTCAGTGTGATCCCAGCAGTGCTGGGCAGTAGAAAACTGGACTCTTTTTCCTCATTGCAGTTTGATTAATTGAACAAATCTTCAAAAAGAAATCCTTTCCTGCTGACCCACCTGAGATTATTGACATTTGATCACTTGAGCCATAGAGGCACATGCACACACACATTTACATTATACTTAAATATAGACATCATGCAACTGTACATGCTACAAATACCACATATAATCTTTCAGACACCCAGAAGCACATACTGTACATGTGCCTCTATGTCTGATGGAAATCTCCAGACAACACGGGTCTTGTATACGGTACAAATATAACCCAAAGGACTGAAATCTCATCAAAGACTTGTTAAACACTGAATCAAAGCTGTGCTGTCTCTGCCTGAGGAGGGCAGCCAACATGGATCATCCAACAGATCTGTGAGGTACACAGAGCCGAATCCAAGTTCGCTGTTACTTTTTATTCTTTTGTTTCATTAATGTTTGTTTGTTTTGTTTTTTAAAGCAGTATTCCTTATTTAGAGGAAATTATGCTCATTTTTTGTTTTGTTTTTACTGACTCGGGTTGTTGTGTAAAGACAGACAGATCTTTGCAGAGCATTGCAGTCACACTCCGTCTGCACTGAATGAAATGAAGTATGTGAGTCTTGGACAAGTGTTCACAGCCTACAGTATGGCTCATATAAAAAGCAAATCTGGGAAATGTAGTTTTTAACCTTTGAAGACATAATTTTTTTATGTGCTTTTTGGGGGGATGTTTCATCAAACCCAAACTGACTTAGATATCTTGGAGGGGATTACATGCATTTGTTCTTTCAAAAGTGACTTTTCATGCCAAGTTCTGTGTCCACATACACACAAATTCACACACACAGACATTTAACCTTTTATTGTTAGTGATGAACACATGAACTTGACATATGAATATAAACCGAGCTGTGATTCTTTTTTTCTTCAACTTTGATTTAAGAAGCGTATCAGTAAAAAAAAAAGAAGTTAGATCTCATATGAATATATAGAATGTACTTATATATTCTTTTACTCTGTGATAACATTGTGGCAATTTGTCACAGTCGAAGATTTGATTTAAAATTTTGACTTCTAAATTATTGGAATGTGATGATAAACATTTTATTTTCTTTTACTTGACAAATATGATATGAAAGAAAAATGTATATTCACTCATATTTATGCTAGAGAGGTAAAAAAAAGAAAAGAAAAGGAGACGACCACACATATTGCTATTCCTTTTTTCATCTTCAGAGATAAATTATGTACAGATCTCTTTTGATACCAAGCCACAAAACATTAGGAGTCCTAACGTTTTTCCTGTTTAGAGTGCTGCAAGGATGAAGTTTTGTGTAGGCTTGCCGATAAGTTAGCATTGCTCTACCTCCCTTGACTCAAAGTCAGTGGTCATTTTCTTTTTCAATGGATTATTCAGAAAACAGGTTCTCTGGTTTGTTCTAGGAAATAAGTTTCAGTAACATTTAAGGTTTTAAGACTTTATTTCTTGCGAGAACAAAAAGCTTTCCCCTCTCCTACATCAGGCTTCTAACTTCTAACGAAACGTAGCTTGAAACATTTAATTTCCACGACAACCTCTGTAGTCTCATTAAGATGATGGCTAGCAAACATCTATACTAAAATGCAAGTAAAAGCTTCGCAACTAGTAGTTTTAAGCTTTAGCAGTCATTGAAGTTAAACAGTTATAAAAACCCACTGACTTTGGGATGAGGGAACCAGAAGTGCAAAAATGCTAATTTCCAGGTTTTAAGTCATTCCCTTCAGCACTCTAAAGTTAACAGAAAGAAATCAGTGCAAGTGTCATTAAAGTGCAATGTTAACATCTGTGACTTTATACTTTCATGCATGTCGACGTCAAATATAACTGTAAGAGTAAAGCTCTTTGAGTGCTGCTGTGACTGGAGATTACTGATACTTAACTGTCAGAACAAAGCACTGACCTTGGTACTGAGTTACAGCAGCGTCCACAGAACCTCATTGTGTTTTTGCAGGATTTACTGACAGCTTCCAGTCTGCGTTCTTTTGACCTGCTTTGCCCTGCTGGTCTGAAGACCTCATAATATTACACAGCTATCTCCACAGGCAGATGTACGACAAGCTTGGAGAGAAAAGCACTGATGCTTCAATTCTCTGGGCTTCTTCTTACGCATATTCTACAGAGTAGGTGATCTGGTACTTCAGTCCCACATTTCACTTCAATAGCATCTTGTGGTCAAGTGCCAAATATAGATACATCAACTAAAATAAAACAGTATTGTATCCATTTATACTGTACAGTTGTTACTTGTCGAACAAAAAATAACTTTATCACTGTATCATTTTGTAGATTTTGTATTGTTAACTTGCATTATGTGTTCTGTGTAGGAGGTCCATTTTGTTATTCAAATAAAGCAACATGGAGAAATGGCTTGTCATAGTTATTTCGGGACGCTTTTACCAACCATGAAATTTGATGCACACAGTCACCCATTTTATTTTGCATTTACACTGATGATCCATTGACTTCTTCTCTAGTAGCCTCTAATCCTCAGGACATGATATTACATTGTCTGAAAAACAAGGTTCATGACAAATGTCTGGAGAATTTAAGAGATTCCTATTATCCTCAGCTGGACTGTTAAGTTCTAATTAGTGAATGTTAGCATGCTAACAGGATCAACTACAGATGTGCATTGTCATTGTGAGAATGTTAGCCTGCTGATGTAAGAAACCTCACAACATCAGATCAATTTTACAAAACTTACACTAACCCCAAATGGTAATGTAACCCGTACCCCAATTAATTTGCATTTAGTGCGTAAGAGTGTAGGCTATCTAGTAATATCAGTACTGTAGTCATGTACAAAACAAAGATGAATGAAAGCAAAATCTATATTGTATTAATTAATACTGAACATTTAAAATATGAGATAGTATGCAAACATGAGTAACTAGGTGATTATGAAATATGAAGGCAACACAAACACAAATGTGCAGTGATATACTGTGGTGTTTTAAAAATGGAAAGATGTGTCAACTCATGCTGACATGAGGCTGAAAAACTCAGTTGGGTGCTGTGCTGATTCATGTGAAAATAGACCTGCTCACCTTGTCTCACTTTAACATAGGTGAAATGTTCAGCTGAATGTGAGTAATATAAGCTAATCTCATTTTAAGAAATGTTTGGCTTAATGTGAGTAATCAAAGCAAGTCCAGCTCACTTTAAGAAGGCTACAGTAAATCATTGCTATGGCACAGCTCTAACCGTAGACTACAGCTCTAACCTGTCTGTTTAGTGGAAGAAGTAAATAAATGAAACTTATAAATAGACATTTTTAAATCCATAAAGTAATTTCTAAATCGATGTTTCAAATGATTGGTTTCCTGAGAGTGTAGCTGCATAATAACCAGGATTACTGAGAGTGGATTGTTATTGTGGAGGAGCCCCTTCAGGATGAGACGAGATACATCCTGGTGTTGAAGTCAAGTGGCAACCTTTGGTGTTGAAAAATTCAGCCAATGCAGATGTACAAAAGACTGTAGCTCCTCAGGTGTCCACTAGAGGCTGCATGAAGACTACATCCATGTTTTATAGAGTCTATAGTCAGGGTTCTTCTGTTCTTTGGAACCCAAACTTAGCCTTTCCATGTGTAGCTTGAATGTTCTGTCGAGTTGTACACATTAGCATGTTTGTTATTATTTAGCTCAAAGAAACATGTTTCCTCGAGCAGTTTCACACCACTGGCAGCAATCACATTGTTGAAGTTTTTACTCTTGTTTGAACAAAAATAACATTTTTATGTTTATATCTTTATTCCCTTTTTCAACAGTCAAGCACACGAGAGCTACAAGACAATCAAGTGCCATGTGTCACCCCTCGGAAGTTCTTTACAGTATTTACCATCTCATGTGTGTTCCTAAAATAAACACTTATAGCTATAGGATGAAATGTTAATGGTACAAAACGGCTGAGAAATGGAGCATTTAAAAACTTAAAGAGGGTGACTTTGATAAGAAATCACTGAAATATAAAGTACTTGAAATCCTTGGATACATCATTAAAGTAATTCAAAACAATGATATTAATAATAAATAATAACACAACTAACAAAAACAAAGACTTGCATGCAGGGATGCTGCTATGTCGTTTAGGACCGACTAATTCAAGCTACATACAATACATCAGGTATTTCATGAGGCTACACCTGATGTGTTATTTGGCAAAGACTGAGGACTGTACAGACTGAGGATAAAAGTACAAATTCTTTTATACAATACAAAATATTGCAGAAAAGAGGAGTATGTGGTTCTGTATTCCATGATGTCACCTCACAAGAGAGGGGATGGCAACAACAAGGAAGCAAATAGATCCAGTTAGATCCAAGAGAATTTCTACAACGTCCATTTTTTTATTTGCAGTGTCCTCCCGCACTGACAATACGACTTTCTTCGTCGAGTTACAGTGTCAGAGAGGGTTCAGTGTGGGAGCCGCCATTGTGCCCCATCAGACTGTCTTCAATACTGTCAGTCAGCTTATCAGCCAATCCCTTAGCAGCCTTGTAGATTTCAGCCAACCAGCAGTCACAGCTTCTCTCTTTTTTGCGTCAACCCCGCAGTCTCTTCAGGTCGGCTGAGGAGCTGTCAGATCTCCGTCAGCGTGATCTTGTAGGTGTCCGCATAGCTCTCGATGTTGAGGATGAAAGTGTCCTCGTTGGAGTAATGCTCTATGATGTTGTCGTCCATGTTCACCAGGATCCTAACATACACAAAAAAACAGTTAAAATTGTAATTCCATGCGCAGAACCAGAAGCTCCGTATAGACATAAAAATGGCACACTCCGTCCTCACTCACCCCTTTTTACTTTTCTTGTACACTTTGGCTATCCTCTCTGAGGGCACACCGTACTTCTCTGATATCTGCCAATCACACATGAAAGCAGATTGTTAACACCTGTGGCCTTTGACTCTGCCTCAAACATCTAATCAGCAGCCACTCACAGCATCCATCAGGCCTCTGAGCGTGGGAGACTTCAGCATCAGAGCGTCGAACACCTCGTCTGTCTCCTTTCTTACATACAGCAGCACTGCAGAGAGAGGAGGAAGAATGAAGCTTGGGATCTTAGCTGAAAAATAAAAATACTCAAAGGAAAAGAGAGATAAGACATGCACACAGACTGTAAGACTTTTCTTTACATGTTTGTCATATTCACTTTCAAAGGAATGTGGCTTTTGTCTGTAGCCCGGTTGCTTGAGTATCACATCATATTTTCATTATGAAATGATTTTCTGATCACTGTCTTGTAAAAGGCTGAACTGTGGTGCAGTGGTTAGTACTGTTGCGTCATAGCAGAAGGTTACTGGTTCAATACCCAGTCAGACAGGGCTTCTCCGTGTGAGGGGCCCTTTCCGAATTGTCACAGTTCAGTATGCAGTACGTACGTTCAGTATGGAGTTGCAGTATACTGAACTTTCGTGGTCATTCAGTATGCATTTGTTGGGTCCACCTCAGTATACTGAACATTTCAGTATGGATACTAACTTCCTGGTTTTATGCAGTATGGATCGGATGCGTGCTAGCAGGAAATGAATTGTATTTTACCACCCACAATGCTGTGCAAAATTAAACGTAAATCGTCACGTCACGTCCGCCTCCAAATCAAAACAAACGAGCGTGGATTAATTTAATCAATTTTTAATCTACAGTTAAAGTCCCAACTGAAATCACTACTTTTAATTAACAACAGAAAATACAACAAATATCTGCATTATTATAAAACCTTTCTCCCTCTATTTAAATAATGATTTCACTATTTAAATGCGCCTTTATTGGTTTTATTTTATATTCTGTATATTACTGTCTTTCATTTGTTCTTTCCTTTATGTACTGTATGTTATTTAGTTATTTAATCTTTTACTTGATTTACATTGTGATATTGTTTTTTGTTTACCTGACTGTATACGAGCATTACTCTTCTTGAATAAAGCTAAACAAAAAAAAACAAAAAAACAACGGGTGGATGCGGCCGGTTCAGGTAACGTAAATGACGTCACTTCCATACTGAATGAATCAGAAGAAGTTGGAACAAATATCTGCTTACTGTGCGCACCTACTGAATAGTAGGTACTAACAGTATACAGCACGGATAGTAGGTACTGACTACTGAAAGATTGAAGAGGTACTTAGCAATTCGGATACAGCCGAGTTTGCATGTTCTCCCTGTGCATGCGTGGGTTTTCTGGCTTCCTCCCACAGTCCAAAGACATGCTCGTTAGGTTAATTGATGACTCTATATTACCCTTAGGTGTGAATGTGTGTTTGGCTGGTTGTCTGTCTTTATATATCAGCCCTGTGATTGACTGGAGAAAAGTCCAGGGTGTATCCCGCCTCTCACCCAATGACAGCTGGGATCAGCTCCAACCCCCTGCGACCCCGAATGGGAAAAAGCGGTCTTGATAATGGATGGATTGACTTTCTTGTAAATATAATAGTTAACAAACATTGAGGGAAATGTCTTAAAATAGATACTTAAAACACAACCAGGTTTAATTCATGAACACAAAAATCCAGATGGCATCTTTTGACTTTTTTATATATCAGAAGTTATCTGCCTATTTGTTTAAATTCTGTTCAGATGCATACATCGTGCATAAATATCAGCTGCATTTTAAGGCTTTTGGCTTCTGTTTAGCAGCTAAACCACATTTTTTAATATATATATTTTTAGAATTTTTTTTATAAAAATAAAAATAATAAAAATTAATTCTGGCAAAGTTTGCCTGCAACACAACATCAAGTGATGAAATAAAAATGAGCCATCCAGTACCTCTCTTGTGTGTCTCCTCTTTGATCTGTTTGTGAGGTGTTGGACACAAATCTTCATCTGACGGCCTGAACATCCTCTTCACCAGCACGCTCCTGACAGAACACAGAAACAAACGTGTGTCATGCACCTTACACACACACAGCGTATGCTTTGTGTTTGCATTTGTGGTGACCTGCTCACATGTACATTTTTTATATTTGTTTGAGTGGATGTAAATGAAAAAGTCTCTTGATGACTCCTAAACTCACCCTTCTCTCTCGATCTCCTCTGTGTTGAAGGTAAAGACCTGGAAATAATTGATAAAGTATTCATATAAGTTTTAACCTTTAAGCATGAATTAAAAAAACAAAGATCTATGTGTAGAGTTGTTTTACCTGTCCGGCTCTCTGCAGGTTACCAAAGTGAACATCAGGGATGAAGAGAACGGGCTGAGCCTCCAGGTCGGTCATGGTCTTGAAATAAGTGGTGTCAGACCTTTTGGGAGCAGTTATCACACCTACACCTCCATCTTTTCCTAAAAACAAATAAAAAAAAATGCCATCAGGGAAATATACTCACATGTAAATAAGTATCTTAAAGCCAGTCCTCATACTACATCCTGGACCTTCAGTTTTCTCAGGTTTTTTTTTATGCAAACATTTTTACGAAGAACTTCAAACCTTTTGACTTCTTGCGAAACAGTTTTCTTTCTTCATCCCTTATTTTCCTCTCGGCACCCTGAGAAGAAAAAAAAACGGATAAACAAGTTTTCAGCAAATCAGTTTCAATATTCCAAACTTCCTTTGGATACACCTCAATGTCTAATGTACAGGTGTGTGTGGAGGCTCAGTGTGAAGGTGAAACCACTAGAGGGAGAACTAATCACAGGATTTCACTCCCTCCCTCCACTTACTGTTTAGCCAGGAGTTTACCTGCAGTCAGATTGTTTGCTGTTGAAACACATTTTAAATATGCTCTACATATATGCTAAGGTAGATTTTAAAAAAGCAGTTAACTGCAGTTAATTAAATTCTCAAACAGTGAAGATAAATGATAACGCAGCATAAAATACTATTTTAAGGTGAGACACTTCAAGATATGTATGATTAAGGGGACACCCTGGTCAGGGAACTGTTTACACTTTCTAAAAAAAAAGTGCTAATTATTTTTATTTTTATATATATATATTTAAGCAAACTCAATATTTCTATACTTTTTTAGGGTAGAACCAATGGCTGATTAAAACCAGCCATTACTTTGCACCACTTTGGTCTGTGATGAAATGATGACAGACCATTTCTCTAATATTTTGATACACACACACACACACACACACACACACACTAAAATGTCAACTAGCATACAAAATGCTCTCTCTAAATGGACATGATTGAAGTGTCAGAAAGCTGAACTCATGCAGAGTCAGTGAGTTCTCACCTTGTCACAGAAGACCTTGATCTCTGAGTAGGCTCTGTGCAGTGGCTTGTTGCTGCGGTTGTTGTAGCTGTACGTGTCGATCTGGATCATCAGAGGAAGACCTTTCACCCCCTTCTGAGAGGAGAAGTCCGTGCTCAGACAGTTCACTGTGATGAAGATCTGCCAGGGAGAGAGAAGAAGACACGGGAGATTTACAAACCTCAGTTTGAACTGGAAGAATTAAACTTTGCGTCGTGATAAATGAATATTTAAAGTGGTATTTTAAACTACCAATGAACCTACAACAGCTAAAAATAATGTATTCGTGTTCATCAATGTTTTATTTGAGTACATTTTTAATTTTTTTAAAACCACAATTAATCACTGAATTCCGGTTTATTAATGTCATTTTTGATGTGTGACATGTTTGAAATTGAATTATTTTGCATTTCAAAATTGTTTATCTTTCATTTTGTATTTTTGTAATGTCTCAAGCTAAGGGTACTTCCCTTCCTGTTTGGAGACAACCCTGCTTTTATTTTGAAAGTATAGTTCTGGTAGATGAAAGGTTTCAGTAACTTAACCATGGAAAAAGGAACTTGTCACCGGTCTTACAGTGCTAGTTGTTTAAAAATGTTGACAACTCCCATGATCCCAAGTTATTTCAGGAACTCACAAACTTACATTTTCCCTCACACTGCTTTAAACTCGATATACTAGACATTATGAATGCACTTTGCACATGGTTCAAATACCGACAACCCGAGAAGCATGTAGTCCATGAACTACCTGGTCATTACACCTGTTTAGGCTCAGCAGTCACACAGATCAAGAGAGAGAACGAGAGCAAAAGTCAATATTAGCCGGAGAATTGTGCTTGGATTGACTCCAGCAACGTCTTTGTCCCCAGGCTATTACAATGAAAGAGCCACACACACACACACACACACACACACACACACACACACACACACACACACACACACACACACACACACACACACACACACACACACAGAGAGTCACATTCTCACAGAAATGAGGGCAAAACAAACAACAGTGGGTGGGGACAGGGATTGGTGTGTGTAGGCCCTTGGGGGCCTCTGGAGTTCAAATAAGAGTGTTGTGGCTCTGTTTAAGGAGTGGCCACAAAGGAGCTTCACAAAAGACAAAGAGGACAAACAGAGCAAAAGTACACAACTCTGCTGAAAAATTTTGTGACCGGACGGTGCTTTTAGCTTTCAGTACTATCCACAGTGATGACTTAATTCACCAGTTATTGAATGAGATTCGGAGTGTCAGTGTGTCTACTCTTAAGAAACTTGCATCACAGTCGGTTAATTTGTCGAGTGTGTGAGTTTGTTTGCCAACACTTGAATCAGCACAAAATAAAAACCTGTCCCACTGCCTTTTCTTCACATGTACAACACACCTCCAGCAAGAGTAAATAGAGGCAACCGGTTTCTGGGAAAATTACAGTGACGTTTAAACGACTGTAGTATTTGTGTTTGTACCTTGGCCTCTTCATTCACGTCCCAGGTGAAGGAGATGGCGTTGTAGGCGATTTCTTCGATGTTTCCGATTGTGTTGAAGCTCTCCTTGTAATCAGCTAAAAGGACAAAAGAAACATAGTTTATTTATTTCATTAAAAAAATCAGCGTTCAAATATTTTTTCTGCTACCAAAGCACACTCAAATGTTCCAGTATTGCCGGATAACCCTTATATCAGAGGACAAAATGGTCAATAAATGACAAAAGCAGGTAGCTGTTGTGTGTTTAGATAAGCAATCAAATGGCACGCTTCAATTTCATGAGATATACACTTATCAGCTTGAGCAAACAAGCTCTTAAAAGCTTCAAAGTGAGCAAGGGGGGGAATCACGAGAGGCTATCCGGCTCAGAGGAGAGTATTAAAAGCCAGTCAGGTGAGCAGATCGGCTGCATTTGTCGACCTGTGTTACAACTCACTGAAGGGGCCTGAAATGTGCACAAAAACAGAATATATGCTGATAAAAAATAGCACATGATATAAGTGACTATTTTTTAATAGAATGGAAATCATGAAGAAAAAAACAGAATTGGTTGTAAAATAATGTTTCTAATGTTTTGGAGAAAAGTAGTTCCATGTTTACTTCACAGCAGCGTTAGCTCACAATGAATGAACGTTACAGATCTGATAAAGATCAAGTCTCAGCTCAACATCTCTGAGTCAGACTATAACACAGCCTGACATGTTCCTACAGTCAGTACAATTACTGTAACATTGGCCATACTTTTCTAAAAAACACCCTCTTGTTGCTGTTTCCTACTGTAGCTTCAAATTAAATATCAATACACAGTTGAAAATATTCCTCAGCAAATACAGTTTTTACTCACATTTGAGTAACTTTACCTAAAAACTACAATTCCCAGCTGTGTTAAGAAAATGAATGAAACGATCTACCTCTACCATCTAACAGAAGCAGCTAATTCTGTGGGAACAAATAGAAATCATAAGTTTGTGTAGTAGTTTGGCAATACTGGAATGTGTAGTGAAGGAAAGTGGTCTTTTCTTGGAAGGCATCCATTGTGGTTGTAGGCAGCCATTGTTTATATGAAAAGTGTAAGAAAAAGTCAAATATGAAGATTAAGAGTTAGAGTATGATAGACTGAAATGGACATCTTCAGCCACTGTTTATCTGTAAGTTGAAGCAGGGATTTTTTTTCTGTTATTCGACCAAGTACTGTTCAAGAGGCATGCTGGGAGTTTTAGAGTCACCTGCTTCAATTTTTTAGATAAAGTAAATAAAAAAATCAAGTCTGCCCAAAACGATGAGTCACAGAAAGGATCTGTCTTTAACATCTTGGGAGAAGAGACTCATCTTACAACCTTCCTGCGGTTCACATCTCAGAGTATCGCTCTCTCTCCATCCAGCTACCTTTGACCTGCTCCATCATCCTAACCCGCCGTTAAAGTGACACTTCCTGGTTCTTTTTTAAGCAGGTGCACAGAGCAGCAGGGCAAGCAGCAACATGTCCCTCTGCCAGTCTCCCCTCGTTAAACAGCCCCATTCAAATGATCCATTCTGTGACATGGCCCAGGGGTATGATAAACCCCACCCCAAAAACACACACACACACACACACACACACACACACACACACACACACACACACACACACACACACACACACACACACACACACACACACACACACACACACACAGACAGACACACAGAAACCCTCCAACGCTATTCAAATCAGCTCTCAGGACGGCGTCAGGTTACAGGCTGCATCCAGCGACAGGCTTACCTGGATCTGAGGAGCTGGGTGGAGGGGTCTGTCATTTGACCTACAGAGCACTGAGGGGAGATTTACCTTCTTAATGTACAGTCATGCACGCACGTCAGTGTGATGGAAAATAACTTCAACAGTAGATACATGCTATCTTTCGATCACGCACACAAACAAATATGCCATACAGAGTGCCAAAGGGAATAACGTTAGATAACACACTTCCCCTACACATTATCAACTGTTTACATCTTTTAAGGTCACCTATAATGCAAAATACACGTTACAAACACTAATATGTGTCCCAGCCTGTCTACCCCCCCCCCCCCCCAATAATGAGAAACGTCTATTCTCTCAGTCTTTTGCCTGCTCCAATTTTCAGAAAATGTGGCCAAACAGGCCGTTTGGAGATTTTCCATTTGTGACATCACAAAGGGCAGTAACCCCTCCCCCAGGTGGGTAAAACTCACACAACTAGGTGTTTGTTCTGCCCTCTGAATCCGTCTTCTCACAGTAAACAATTGGGCATTGTGACACAAAGTATTAAGATGCTATTTTTGAGCTAAGTTATGAGAAAAAGTAGCGCTCAGAATGTAACTAGATTAAGTACTTTTATTTTTAATTATGTAAAGTTACGGTAGATTGGAAAGAGCTTCTTTGCTTAATTGCTAATAGTTAGATAAGAATATTGACACTCTCGTATCGGTCTGGTTAAGTAGGAAGCTACAGCCAAGAGGGGCAGCTTAGCTTAGCTTACTTAGCTATAAAGACTGGAAACAGATGGAGACAGTTAGCCTGGTTCTGTCCATTGCACACCTCTCAGCAGCAGCACCTCTAAGGCTAACTAATCAAGGTGTTTGGCTGTGTGGCTGTAATTAAAACAAAGGCATACTCAATCTGTCACTGTGTGTGGGACTATATGTTGCATTAATTACTAAGTTATGACAGAGTGCTAGATTTTCCCCTCCATTTTTTATCTGCTAAGCTAATGCTAACCATTACGTTGTAATTTAACAGAGAAATATGAGAGTGGGGTCAATCGTCTCATGAAACTTACAAATCCTATAACCCTATTTCAGAAAACAAAAGTCAACAAAGTTTTGGCTTTTTTTTTAGAATGCAGTTTTTTTGTGTTACCTGATAATATTTTTTTAAGTTTCAATCACTCAATCATTATTTGTATAGCCCCTGTTTGTAAAAAAAGTCATCTCAAATCACATTATACTTTATTTTACTTTAAGTTTATAATTTGTACTTTGATTTATTGTCATTTTACCCAGTGTGGTTTTTAAAATGGTTATTTATTGTACATATTGATCAAAGTTTCTTGTGAGACTGTGGCATTATATTTTCACCAAAGAGGAGCCAAACGTATCCATAAGTACAAGAGAATAAAAAGAGAAAACAATAGAAAAGCTAAAATGTCATTTAAAGCAGCTGAATGCTTTAATCTCATCACTGTAGCCTATTCATAACTGTGTGAAATTATCTCGCAATGCCCAGCGGCACTAACAAAACTTTAAGCAGAAACAAAGGTGTACAGAAGAGGACATTTATCTTGAAAGTTTTGACTTTTTTCTCAGTGAGAAAAAAAAAGTAAGGACTCAAGGTGTGTGAGAATAGTGGGGTGTTCAATGTTTGTCATGGTTCGTGTAAATACAGGAATTAAGATGAAGATCTAAATTGAGCCAGAATTACATTCAACAGACCAAAACCTGCAAAGGTAGCGGTGTGACTAGCATTCCTCTCCCTGTCCCGACAAGCTGCGTATAGGTGTGTGAATGTGTGTGTGTATGAGTGTGTGTGACTCCCATCCACCTCCACTCTCCCACATACCTCTGACTCTGCCCGGGTTAGCAGGTCCGAGCTTGTCAAACATAAACCGCCTACAAGCTTCACACACACACACACATACTCATTCATCATCGCTCGGTTCTCATTGAAATCCATCAACTTAACAAAAACAACAACAATAGACTCAAGGTCAAAGGTTTGAGATACAAATATGATACTTCAGATGGATAGAATACACCTGTGGGAAATACTGCCAGATAAGAGTGAGAGTAGTCAGATGTTTCCGGGTAATAAAATAGTTTCTCATAGTTTTGCTCAATCTCCCAGCCAGTGTCACAGAGATTACAGGATTTAGGTTGTGTGTCTCAACAACACTTAGAAATTATGAGATTCAGTGTGTGTGTGCGTTTAGATGATGGTGGCCAGCTGAAGTGCCTTGGGCAGACAGTTGGGTGGGGGCTTGTTTGCACACAGTTTGGTCATGCCTTGTTTATTAGCTGAGTGCATTCCAGCATTTGGAATAACATAAATCTGTCATTGTCTTTTAATTGGTGTGTTTCGTATCATCAATTCGGCCATTGAAGAGTTTGCCGATGTTCACGTTTTGAGAGAGTCGTTTTCTTACCGATGTCTAAGACTCTCTGTTTGGCCGTGTGCTGTCGAGAGTGCCAGTACTTCCAGTATTTGAGCTGCTCGTCTCGGTTCTTGTCTTCACTGAACACCACCATGATGACACTCTGAGAAAGAGAAAATGAGGATGAAACTCAAAAGTTTTAGATTAAGGTGAAGCAATTGAACCAATGACTGTATGGGACAAAGGATTTGACTTTAAGCTCCATGTAACCTGAAATTAAATCCAATCTTGTCTCCTGTGTCACAAATTAAAGATTTAATGCTGGGGAAAAACTGATCTGGTACTGTAGCAGAATTCCTAAATAAAAGACATAAACCAGAGACATAAGCAGTTGTTAGAGAAGCAACATGGAACAAAAAATTAGAGCAAATGCTCTGCGTCACAAGTCTCATTTGAGCTACTGCTAATACTGTAGTGTATAAACAAACATTATTACAAGAAATGGTGCACTAACCGATAACTTCTACACTCTAAAGAGTCTGGCAATAAGTCTGTCTGACCTCCTCTTATCAGAACTGTACTGTCTGGTAGATTGCAGCAGCTACTCGGCTGATTAATTGTTATCATAGAAACTGTTATTTAAAAACACTGAAGTTCTAATTACCAGAATGACCTTTAATCAAATCCAATGACCCAATTCATGTTGTTTTTTTTGTGTGTCCAACCCAACAAAAGCAATCCAGTGTTCACGCTCCTTTTGTTCTCTTTTTGTTCTGCATTTGTTCTGCAACTTTTTTTGGGGGAAACATTTGGCTCTAAATGCTGCTCTATGTTTAAGCTAGTTGCTGACTGGATCTATCTTTCTGCTGTTCAGTGCTGAGTGGGTAGTGTGTGGGTTTAAAGAGCTGCATCTGGACACAATATTACTGAAAGTTGTGGGCCATAAAACCTTAACGATGAGATGAAAGAGGCTAAACTGACAATTTTTATGTTACACACAAGTGTTTAAAATGTTATCATGCTAATTCCAATTATGACGTAACAAGGAAAAAAACACTACTGTATATGGCCATTACAGCAAAATGGAAAATAAAAGAATGGAGAAGTCATGTATTGATCGGCTCACCCGGACTTTGCTGATGGGGTGACGGAGGCGTTTGTTGGCACTGAGCTCGTTCAGAGTCACAGCGTAGAACTGGCCTTTGTTCAGGTAGGTCATTGGTCCCTCGCCCTGCTTCTGACGCAGAGAGCGAGAGGCATCGAGTGTGTACTGGAAGCTGTCACTGTTCACACAAAAAACACACAAACAACACATTGAGGAGAGAACGTGATTAGACATATAACAAGGTGGGGGAGCAACACTGCCACTTTTGTTTTTTCCTTTCTGGCTCACCTTAAGCCAATGTTTTAGATCTTTGTAACATACATGGATACATGCGTTAAGTTATAGTGTTTTTCAGAGACTTACACTCCCTCCTGGTGAAATATGAAGTCCTCTGTAGCTAGAGAGGAAGGTGTGTGATACTTCTGTTGAGAACGCTGAGAACACACAGAAAGAGGAAATTATTTGACACAATGAAAATGAAATGTGGTTTGAGAGGAACTGCTTAAACAATGTATTAAATGAGAACAAAAAGACAACAGTTCATCAACAGAAATGTAAAAGAATAGCTAATAATGACAACAGCAAGGTCGCATGCAAACCGGAAACAGGACTCTATGTGTGCATTCCTGTTCAGGTAACCTTTGTACTAACAGTGAATCATGATTAAACATCAATCTGTCTTCACTCACAATATATATAACAACTCCACCCTCACAAGTAAGATATCAACGACATAAAACATTAAGGATTCGAGTACTGTTTGGAGTACCCTTTATCTGACTTTTATGTGTCTACATTTCCCACAATGCCTCTAAACAACCCCTAAATATGTTCTGGTCCCTCGTTCGCTCATGGAGGACAGAGAAGTGATAAAATATTAAGATAAGCCGTTGGTGTTTGACCTGAGGGGGCTACCATCCAAATCTATCAAGACTAGAACATCCAGATGAGATTTTTCCACATTTTGACTGTAATGTGCCCCAGAAAATTCTCAGAAACACAAGAAAAAAAAGCAGCCATTTTTAACTTGTGTAAAGAACCTTTTTAGTTTGCTATCCTGTTTAAGATATGTTTTTTCCCTTTTAATAGTACTTCAATTAAACATGTTTTCAAGCTCTGAAAGGAAAACAAATGTCAATAAACTTACAGAAAATTCTACAGTATAAACTTTTTTTTCTATATAAAACATGCTTTCATTCATCTCTCATCATTGTAATCACGCAATGACCTTTATGATTTATCTCTCGACCCGAAACAGCTTTTTAATTTTTTTAGGGCTGTTAAGATTCCCTGATCCGAATATGTTACCAATTTTTAGGTTAAAGATGTCGGTGCATCGGTCTGCATAGCCCTGGATTTGTTTATAATAGGAACTGGTTGATGGTTCAGTTGTAAAACGATGATTTGGTTAACTGAGGCTTGGCTGCTTGTTCTGCATCATGTGCTCAGGGTTTTCAAACTTAGAAGACTCTGAAATTGATGTCAGAGGGTGTCAGTCTGCAAGACAAGTCTCACCTGGTGAGTCTGCATGGCATCTAGAGCTATAGTCTGTTGTACTTCTGGGGCTGAATTTGTGAGTCACACTGAATCCTTCTATATTTAAATAATCATCCCTGAATCTGACCAAAGCCTATGAATCAAAATTCTGATCAGATTATTCCATAAAGGAGAAACGCACACTGAGTGTCTGTGCGCTCTTTTCTCACCACGTCTCTCTCCTCTTCGTACGGGCTGTCAGGTGGACTCTGCTGGTCTTCCTTCGCGTATGAGTTGTGGCCGAGGGTGGTCACCTCATAAGAACCCTGCTCGTAGATCACCCTCGCCGACTCTTCTCCCTCCACCCTGTAGTGAAGCCCCGCCCCCGTCATGAAGACGGGCGCGTACATCTCAGCCTTCACCACGGCCAGAGCCGGTGAGCCTCCGTCTCCTGATGTCGCCACAGCTCCGGCCGCCCCGGTGGAGCTACTGAACTGATCCCGTTTGTTCTCCTGGTGCTCCGTGTTCAGCGACAGGTTGACGGGGACAGATTTTAGGACCTGGACTCGGTTTTCCACGTTCTCCGGCTCGCTTTGGCTGCTCAGAAGAATAGACCTGAATACAAATACAGATTTTATATTTCAGAGGGTTGTGAAAAACATGGCACACCGTTGAGAACTTCTTTTTATTGAAAAGTTGTGTTCCTTATTCCACCTCGACACAAAACTGATCAACACAATTCTACAGCACCAACACTAACGTACATGTCAGCTGTTAAATAAAAGCAGGTGTAACGCAGGTTACGATTCCAGGCATGCTGATCTTCAGACCATAATTATACTCTGGAGTGATTGCTTTTGATCTCAAATTACACTATAATTATAATGTTTTTATAATGTGTGAAAACTTTTGTATTCCTTTACTTTACTTTTACTTTTATGGAGAAGTTTTTATTTATTCATGTGTGTACCTTTTTTGTTTGTGCTGTGTGTTTCTCTTCTATCAGGAGTCTCACACTACTTGCCTGACTTGGCTTCACTACATCGAGTATTCAGCTAATGACCAGCAAAGACAACTAAAATGAAGCTGGTGAATACGGACGTTTATAATGCAGGACTTAAAGTACCAGAAAACATTTATTTACAAATGCTCATTGAGTAAGAAAATCAGTTCATCATGCATTATGCTTTTGATATAATCATGCTAGCTGGAGGTTAGTGCCACACATACAGACTTCTGATGAGTGAGTTTATTTAAGATGGAACTAGATTATTTTAAGATTTAGTAATGCATGGCACACTATTAGTACGTGGGTCAAGTTTGTGCACTTAAAAGAAGGCTCACCTGAGTATCTTTAACGATTCACTCAATAATGCACATCATGGTTAAGGCTAATGAATACAGGTGAGAAATATAAAGTTGGGTCGTCACTGCTTTATTTTCCTACTACCTGAAAACTAGGTTATGTTTTTCAAATGACCTTTAAGTTGTTACAGTAATGGTTTAGTTGAGTTAGTTCCAAAAGAGGAGACACATTATCTCTCGCTCTCTTTCTTTGGATTTGTTTGTTTCTGCTGGAGTCATGAGGTGTTTACTGACTACAGACCAGCCTCTGTTACTTCCAGTTCTTCTGGTAAAACAAGAATCACTCATCAGTCATTTTATGTAAACACTGAAGCTATAAGTATCGTCTCATTACTTTTGTAACTTAAAGCTCAGTATATTAAATTATTTCATGTGTATTCACATTACTAAATGTGCTAATGCCCAATACAACACTTTATCAGCTCTGGGATTAACTAGCTATAAACAATCACACTCAGACACACACAACACAGATCCATCCATCCATCTATCACCTATACTGCTTTCCTCGTTCGGGGTTGCAGGGGGGCTGGAGCCAATCCCAGCTGTCATTGGGCGAGAGGCGGGGTTACACCCTGGACTGTTTGTCAGTCAATCACAGAGCTGACATTTAGAGACACACAACCAGCCACACTCACAAATCTAAACACAGTAATACACAAACACATACCAATGCACACACACAGTCACACACTCAAGAGTCTTTCATAAACTAAATTTGAAAAATTAATAACACTTTCATCTATTTTATTTTATTTTTGTATTATATTTGAGTAGTTTTGGAAAAGTTTTTATCTTTTTATTATCGTTGCTATAATAACATCATTGATCATTATTATTATAACTCATTATAAGTCATTATTGATTATTCATATAATTTGCTGTTATTTGTGTATTCTATGTTATCATATGCTTTGGCATTATTGTCACATTTGTGCCAAAAAAAGCTTCATGACATTTAACCAATACCTGGGATTGCTCAGTTACAGACGACATTTTTGACATTTTTCTTCGTCTATCTGTGCGAACACGTACAACTTGAGTTTGACACGGACAGACTGAAGCTCACTGACCGTTTCTCCTGCTCCTCTGTCATTTCAGACACTTTGGGAACAGGCAGAAGCCTCTTCTCTTTAGGTACCTAAAGAAAGAAAAAGAGGAGATGCTGAGTTCATTTACATCATTGTTAACGTCAACGTTATAGACAGACACAGATCTGAACACAGTTCTTTCAAGTGATACATTAATATGGTATAACATCTTTTTGTGGGCTTTTCATCCATCGTGTTCCCTTCGTCTGAGGGCCTCTAATGAAGCCAAGCTAAATAACTACAGTTGTAAAGATTTACTCCAAATCTTGGCAGTTTTTTACTATCTGAGCTAATTCATCTTAGAAACAAGTGAAAATGTACAATAGACCTTAATCTAATGTCTTTATGCTTTGAAGGTCACTGGAAAGCATACGTTCAGAAGTTTTATTTTGACTATTTCATTCTTATCTGGACCTTGTAGTAGTCGTAGAGCAGGCCGAGGGCGTTGGCGCTGTCCTCGTCCCCGTTGATGCTCATCATGGCCTTGGTGGCAGCTGTGAGCGGGTTCTCCAGGTACGACCTCCATGCCTCGTCCTCGCTCGTGTACGCTCGCCGTACCGCGGGGTAGGAGCTCTCGTTTGGGACGACCACCACCAGACGCTTACTGACGGGACACACAAGTCACATTTTCATTTTCATTAAGATGTGCAAACGTTCACATAAGAGATTGGAGACATTAATGTGCTGGATTTACAGTTCACAGATTGATGCTTTTTGCTTTTTTAAACTAGTTTACATTTTCTCTCTGATTGAATATCAAAATAAAAAACCTTTAGATTTGGTCATCAACGTTGTTCTAGACTTTATTTGTATTTAAAATAAGGGATTCAATCGACACTAAGGCCTTTTTCATGCCTGTTTTGTGTGTATTCAGGGCTTTGTCTCTCTTCTCTTAAGGCCTACTTAAGTCAGGATCACAGACCAGTTAAAGACACGCTGTTGTCACAACATCTCTTTGAACTCCCTGAGAGGCTCCGAATGTGTCAATTTTCACTTGTGAAATGAACAACATCTGTATAAAAATCACAATGTCTTCAAATGTCTTGATGCAGCACATTGTCAAATGAGTTAATATAACCTGTTTTGTTCATTTCTTTGTAATTACTAATGTGATTAGTAGAGCTTCTAATCTAATATACAACTGTTTGATTTTTAGAACAATTAATTCTCTTGATTCATTTTTCAGATTTAAACTTCTTCAATGCTGGAAAATCAGATTTCTTTAGGCGTCTTGGACAACAAACTTCTCATCTTATGATTGTAAAAAAACGACAAAAAAAAACAAACTTCCTGAA